TTTATATACTTATTTTGATTATATTTGTTAGAATGATTTTATATTGTTTTGTAGTAATTACACCGCCGTCTCTCCAGCTTCTTTCCTGTCCTCTCCATCCTAAGGTTGTCTGGAAGAGATCGCTCTTAGCGATAAGACCGCCCATTATTACACTGTATTCTTTAATTATGTACTTCATGTTTTATGTTTTCTGTGGTGTAAAAATAAAGAGTTTTGTATTGTATTGTATTGTAAAGTGGCTGAAGCGCGCGACACCGGCCGACTAAGGCAAGGGAGAGAGGGGTGGGGAATCGCGCGAGTGTCGTGTGGCGGCGTTTTGTATCGGCGCATTAAGTGGCCGGTGCGGGCCACAAGAAACGAGCAACGACGGTTTGTAGCGTGTGGCGGCCGCCGACGTACCGTGTGTGGCGAGTCCATATAAAATGTATGAAAACTACAAGAAATATGCCGGTGGCGGCGTTTTGTGGTTGTAGTCGGTGGCCCGTGTGCGGTGACACTTCGGTTTCGTTTAAACGTACTTACAGCATAATTTTTATGCCTCCTCTACAAGTCGGTGGATGCGTCCGCGGACGTCGCCAGATGCATCAGTAGATGGATCGACGACGAGCCGACCACATGTCTGAATGTCATTCAGTCCGTGTTCATTCTCGACAGACGCAACTCGTACGCACACAACATTAAAAAAAATGTTGAGATTATTCGCTGCCGCAATTTATTTATTTAGTAATTTTAACTACTACTAGAGGTACATCGCAGTAGAATTCTTAAAAAGAAATAGAAAAGAAGAAGGTGGTGGCTGCTGGCTATTTTTCGGATTCCACAAATCGTTTTCTGCTTGAATACTACTCAAGAAATTTAAATATTTCGTTAGTACTCATAATATTAGCCATTTCAACAAACGAGCAAAAAATAATTGCAAGCACGCGTCCACTCTCATACGCAACTCCAGTACTACTGATGCGTTGTGAGACGTGTGGACAGTCACGCCGGACGTCCGCCTTGAATCTCTTTGTTGAGTGCCACAAAAACCGACAACTATCAGATTGATGGAGGACGCATCTGCGGACGTTAAATACAGGTCGCGGCACGTAACTCTAGTGCTGAACAAAACGCATCAGGGATAACTGCGCCTGGGCACCTCGTTTCCCCTCAACACATCTTAATTTTTACTTCTGCGCAATAACGGTCAGCGCTAGAGTTTCGTACTGCAACTTATACCTACCACAGATGTGAAAACTACCCCGTCTATACGTAGGCTAGGCGGATGATTCCGCAGATGGCATCTGCAGATGCATCTGTCGACGTGTAGAAGGGGCATTACACAGAGCTTAACTTTAGTGGACGTTTTGTAATACGTCGGCTTATATTTAATAGAACGATTAAGCTGAATAAAAACAAAACACTTTGCCTAAGTATAGGTAAGTATTTAATACATCCACAAGATAACTAAATACTATTACAATACAATAAAGTGTAGGAAATTACATGTTCAACAAGTATATCGTTACAAAACAAACCTTAGTCTACATCACGACACCGATAATAAGGACCCTCAAAGTTTTCATATATTATTAACTAATTAAGTACTTTATTTATAGTATTAACAAACAAACAAAACATGTCAGAGAGTTAGAAAAATTTAGGCTGCCACAGAAATGCGAAAATTTAATTAGTGGCTTGGATTAATCACATCACGCTAATCACGCTAATATTATAAAGGCGAAAGTTTGTGAGTGTGTATGTTTGTTACTTCTTCACGTCTAAACGGCTGGAGCGATTTTAATAAAATTTGGTATGGAGGTAGCTGACACCATGGATTAACACATAGGCTACGTTTTACTGCGGGAAAATATCCCTAATAAACCGCGGGGCACAGCTAGTAAGAAATAATTATACAGTGGTCATATCAACAGGACATCTTATTAAATGATCGTGTACATATTTAAATAAAATATACTTAACAGATTTATGACAAGTACATAGATCAACTAATTATAAAAACTTCAGACCGGAAAGTTGGTAATTTTAGTTTTATTAATTATAATGCAATAGTGCTATACCATGCCATTTCACCTGTTATCCTAGTTTTTTAACACCTGTAGGTATAGTATAGACTATAGAAGATCAGTTCAGATTTTTTTAATGTTCATTAACGCAAGTCTGTGGCAGCCTAGTCAAAACCTATTCTAATTTGTGATTGGATAATAGTCTATTACAAAAAGCTAGTTTTAATACAAAATTATTCTTAAAAAAAATATTAATTACTAAACAAAAAATAGGTTATTTTAATAAATTAATCACAGTCAGACAAAGAAAAACTCTAACTACATGTAATTAATTCGGGGCTTTTAAAAATAATGTTAGCAGATATGTATACCAATAGTTTGACTTACAAATAAATGGTATGAATTTGAGCAAATTTTATACACAAAAAATGTGGTACATATCATGATATGGCCATCCCAGTAATTCTATGCTATGGTTAGTGCATTTATGAAGTAACAAGCAGGAGCTTTTGTGATATCAAGTAGTAGGATTCTAAGTTAAATTATAAACTGTTTGCTCACAATCTACCGACAGATTATGATCGTACTGGATAGGTATAATATAATAATAATTTGTACAATATGGTGACAAATACAGTAGGCCCGCGGTAATCCGATAAACGCAGGGCGATGTCGGATTATAGTGAACAGCTTTATACCACTCTACCACTAACAAATCAAAAAATCTATTTGAATTGATGTTTATGTACAATCAGGGGCGCAGGGCCAAGAACCATAAATAAATGCTCTTGGCTCTAGGGTAAAAGCCATTTAAAGGCATTCGTTACTGCCCTTTAATTTGATTTGATATACTAATTCTAGGGTATATTTACTATCAGAATGTATGGCGGGCCAAGTTTTTGCTCAGGCCACTTATGATTGGTACCTAGAATTTGTAAATCAAATCAAAATATAGCTCAGTAAAAAATTACAATCACCTTGGAGCTCAGCAACAACTACGCCCCTGAGTTTTCTGCGAAGTAAATCGGTAGTATCATAGAACACAGAAAGAGGTAAGAAGCAATGATATTAAATACCCTAGATACACCACGAGGGCTCAAAATGTGTCCCAATCAAGAAGTACTTGAACTCCACTCAAGCACTTCTTGGTTCACAGTCGCGCGCGGACCGTTACAAAGTCAAGATGCCACAGAGCTCCGCGAAAAAATGCGAAAATAATACATATAGTATGAAAAGTGTCGTTTTTTCGACAGGTTTCTTGTCAATGTTTGTTGATTTAACGCATTTGAAGCAAATTTTGATCTAATACTTACTATAAACTGATTTAATATAAAATATTTGTAATATTCAAATGCATGGTCGGTTATACGTCACCATATAGCCGTCTCTTTTCCTCGCGGTCCGTGCCTGCTATATTGCTAACAGCGCATTCAGAATTGCGCGTAGAGTCAAAGAAAAGGTCTAAATTCTTCCGCAAATAGCAATAAGTCGTAAAATTTTACGAGCTTGCATTTTGAACTGTCAAAAGTCCTTGACGCATGCGTTTTATTTAAGACCTTATACAGTATGTATTAAAGGTTACTTTCAATATTTAAATAATGCCTTATATTGATTTTGACTACGCGATCATCTTACGGAGCTCCGTGGATCGTTCAATGTACCTTTTGGACAGGTTATCATTTACCGTTTTTACGGGAACCGATGTCGCTGGCTCGCCCCTACTACACTTCCAACTAAAAGATAATAGCCAATCAAACGACGCGACATCAAACAATCGAACCAATCAGCGATCACACCCGAGTTGTAACAACGCAATCAGAACCAAGTTTTTGTTATGAGCATTTGCTCACTCATAACTGTGGCACGAATGCCCCGCCCACAAGGCCCTTCAAACCTTTTTCTGTGTTCTATGGGTAGTACCAGGTTCGGCAGCGGGGTGGTAATTGTCGGAACATGTGAAAAATAGTACATTTTTGTTTGATGGTTGCGGGATTTCATCTATTTGAGGGCCGGAGATGGCCGGTCGTAGTTTGCTCATCCCTGGTCTAAGCCGTCGCTAATAGCGGCACGGCGCGGCGTGGTCGAGCCGTAAAGGGACGTAAAGCCTTTAGAACATACAGCGTTGGGTGTATTCCGTAATATATAGCAGTATACTGGCCAGTGCTAATGACGTCATGAATCGACGCTAAACTGGTGAATTGTTCCGAAATATATTGGCCAGTGCACTGTCGGCATAAATCGACGAAATATTCAAAATAGTGTCAATAAAGAAGATTTTTTATTCACCTCATCAATTAAAAGGAATTATTTTTGTTCAAATGCCATTATCGTTCTTTAAATAAAAAAGAAATAAAATTCGAATGCATCTCATTCACGCTCGGTCATACGTCATATCCGTTTTCCCGGTAAAAATATGGTAGCATACCAGTACAATATGGCGTCAGATTCGTGACGTCATTACCACTGGCCAATATACTGATGTATATATTTCGGAATACAACCAATATCTATCAAAACAAAAGCGGAAAAGAATTCAGAACGACAGCATTACGTTTTAAATAAAATATACCACCAAATTTAGTACCCTGATAAAGATTGTTTTATTGTACAAGAAATCCCTTGCCCCCTAATTAACTGAGGTAAAAGTAGTCAGGCCACTCCTACTTGGTGGATTTTACAATTTAGCTGCTGCTTTTTATATGAAATCTAGTATTTACAAAGTGATAGTAAATTTGGGAATAAGGTGTTAGCTAGGGTACATTATGGAAACTATATTAAATAAAATTTGCAGTTTCCTTTCATAGTACATACTGAGAAAATTTTACAAATGCTATTATAATAGCTGAAATGTTTTAACAAGGCAACATTTGTAAAAAAAATCATGAAATAAACAAACTTTTAATATGTGAATATAAATGTAATAATTGATTGATTGATGTCGGAAAGTTTAAGTATTAAAGTCTATAAGCAAACATCAAGGTTGGAAATCTTAATAATTTTGTTTATTGTACTCTGTTACTTTGTTATAACAAATAACAATCTTTATTTTCATGAAAATAAATATTGTTTTTCTACTGTTTTAATCATCATCTACCCTTTGTTTTTTACTGGTATTTGAGGGTGTTTGGGGTGGGGAACAAGCAGTGTCTCTTCTCTTACCAGAATGCCTTGCGCAAGTGGTGCCCGTGGAAACTCTTGACTGCGACTCCCTGTTCGGTGAAAACTGTTTCAGCATTTCCACATCGTTGAAAATGACTTGAGCACCTCCCCCGCTAGTCGGAACAATGTCTCCTTTATACAATTTAGTTTCCAACTCACCATCTGTATCCTGCTCTTGCGATATCAAACAGTATTTGGAGGTTTTCGAATTGGCAATGTCCTTCACCGACTTCAACTTGTTCACGACCTTACAGTTTGTTATACTCGGTTTCATTACTGTGCCCATTGGTACAAGTTTGTTTGGAGCGTGCTCGACCCAATTTCGCCCGTCGGCGGATAAAGACCGCCTGTGCCTTGGATTAGCGACAGCAACGCCACGCCTAGACGACGCTGGAGTGTCTCTAGTTTCTCTAGTATGAGGAACAGAGCTGAATGGTGTGAGAAGATGGGCTGGCAACGCCCTAGGCGTCGAACCAGGAGTGAAATCTCTTGCTGTTTGTGCTCCAACATCTCCTGTACTTTTCGGCATAACCAAGTCATTATCACCCCTTTCCGAATTCAAAGCTTCAGCGATGATCCTCAAACGATTCTCCTTCTCCTCTATAGCATTTTTCAGTCGCCTTTCTTTCTCAGTATGCATTTCTTTTGCTTTCTCATGTTCAACTGCGATTTTGTGGTTGTACTTCCGCTCCAGTATCTTTTTCTGCTTCTCTTTGTCAAGCTTGTTCTGACTTAATAGTAGGTCCTTTTCTTGTAATTCTCGTTTTAAGGATGACGAATATTCTGTCAACTCGGCAAGTTTACGTTGATGTGATAACGAAGCGTTCTCTGTAGCTGTCAAGCGTTCCTCCAAAGCTCTCACGCGACGTTCAGCAGCTGCCAGTTGACCTCTGAGTGACACATTTTCACTTCTTACTTCTAAAGAGTCTTTCTCTAATTCTAACAAAGCAGATCTAAGCTTTTCATCTTTTAGCGATTTACTTCTTTTCAATGCTTCCCTTCTACTTATACGCATTTCCAAATGTGCCATCAGTTCTTTTATGATATGTGCAGCTTGGGAACTATTCAATTCTAGGCTCGGAAAATCAGGTCCAAGACTGTAGACCAACCCTAAGTCTAATTCCAAGTCTTTAGCTTCTGGACGGATAATGTTCTCCCTTGCTGTTGTAAATAGTCTATTAGCTTTACGCCTTCCAGACATAAGTCCAATTGAAGCTGCAATGTTATTTATTTGTGGCTTAGCCACTTCGACTTCGGAGGCCATTTCAGCAAATCTCATCACTTGCAATGTCTCATCGTAATCGTCTGCACGAGGGTTAGCACAGACAATCATACGGACCTGCCCTTCACCTTCAAAGAAGTTTTTAAACAAGTGTGTGATCTTTGACTCACGGTATGGCACCATTGATTTCATGTCTCCAGACTGATTTTCTCTCAAAATTTCCAAACAAGTCCTTAATGTCATCAGAGACTTATTGATGTTCCCAGCTTCTCTTAGCCTTTGCCCAGTATTTTTTGTACGGTTAGTACGTTCGCTGCCAGCCAAATCTACTAAACTCAACTGGCTTATTGACAGAAACTTCTTATTCTGTATAACAGCTTCACCCATTTCGTCAACTGGTGCCTGCACCAATCTTATTGTAAAAACAGAATGACTACGACTTGATTCTGCATTTAAAGTTGTATGTGCCATTCTTTTCCTTTTGAGACCCAAGTAAAATGCTTCGAATGCTTCTTCTGCTGATTTTATTTCAATTTCAGTGACACCGTGCACATACATATTGTGCGCTCCGTCTTCTCTTATAAGTTTAACAGGTAAGTTTTTACTAATGGGCCCATCTTCTAGCAAATCAAATACACTGTTATTGTAAATTTCAACATAAGTCACAAACACAGCGTACTGATTGTCTTCATTAATGCCTTCTACTTTAGTTATATCTGTAGAGGACATGGCCAAATCGGGGTTTGAATTATTTTTTCTGTTACTTTTGAACTTGTGCAACTCTTGCTGTCTTTCTAACATGGCTTCAGCCTCCGTTTGAATATCGAACATGTTCATTTTGTCTGGTTTGAAGACGTATTTGTGTGCTTGGAAGTCATTTATAGATTTGAAAATTATGTTTAAAGCTCTGGGTAGTATACCACAATTTAGAGGCTCCCCAGTCATTGTGAACGTTTTCCCGCTACCCGTCACTCCGTATGTAAATAATAAGCCGTTTTTACCTTTGATTAGTCCTTCAACCAGCGGTAACGCGACTTTGTCGAATACTTCTTGTTGCAAAGTTTCTGGTGGGAAAACTTCTTTGAATGTGTACTCCATGGTCTTGACATTTTCGTTTCTGTAACTTATAGATGAGCTTGGAGGCGTCAAGAGGACAGTTGTAGGCGAAATTATCTTCATACACGCTATATCAGTGTCTTTTTGCATAGGCCGCAACCGACAGTAAACATGAACAGGATCTCGATCTCCCGTACACAGATTTTGCTTACTTCTAGCCGGAGTCCGCATTTCATTCAGTCTTTGCTTGGATTTTGCGGATCTCATGGTGATTTTTTACAATAAACACACACGATAAACTCCTGTTTCGGCGTAACACACAATTTTTATTTCCAGCGGACGGTTGGTCGACAAATCAAAGCAACGGTCGTTCGAAAATTATAATGTAGCACAGCCAAATTGAAAATCTAGACCACTATCTTTTATCTCTCCCACACGCGCTAAAAGTTGAGAACAACGAACAGCGACGACAAGAAAAAAGTCGTTGACAGTGTTGACTGTTTGAATTTGGTCGGGTAACGTATGACCTTCAAATTTAAATTGACATTAAATAATGTTGCAAGTTTATAAATTTGTACTCCACTAAAACTTCATGGTATTTTTTTGACCTAAAAGTACATACCGTAATCTGGGGTGTCTAACAACTGCGGGGTAAAAAACAACATTTTAGAATAAAAATACAGACTTCCTAAATGTGTTGTATTTATTGAATGAAAACTTTTTCTAGACTTCGAACGAATTTCATTTATTTTTCATTTAATGTCAGTTCAGTTTTAAAACGTGCAACTAACTTCTTGAGGACGAAACGTTAGGAGGAAAAATTTACAATTATTAATGCCTAAGACTTTAACAACTAGCTTTTTATAGTTTTAATTTTCTAGATTGGTAGTTTTTATGAAAGAAAACAACAAAATGTATTGGTTATTTCAAATTCTTTAAATGCGATGTGAATTTATAATTTTAGGGTTAGAATTTATAATTAAAATGGGGCGGATAACAGCAACCTAAGGGTCGATGCACAACGACTAATAGGATGATTAACAACAACAGGTGGGGTTATTCACAACAATGTAAGATAATAAAATTTTTATGGTGTTATTTTGTTCCAAAAATAATTATGGAACACACTATGAACGCTGAAATAAATAAAATAATTGTTATCTACTTTTTTGTTCTTATTATAACAAAATAAAGAAGTTGTTTTATTTCACCCCTTATATCGTTGCTTATGACTCCACACAAAATGTCATTTGCAACAAGTCATATTTCATTGAATCGCATTGTATTTCAGTTACAGCTTCTTCTGGGGTTAATAAAATCAATAAAAAGACTAGGTTCATTATTACCCAAAATTACTTCTAAGATATTGTAACAGATAATGCGGAAAATAATAAAATCTACATTTGAAATGTTGTTGTTATTCACCCCAGTTTACGGTACTGAACTTTTTTTAAACCCTAATCTTATGTATTTTCATCTCAAAGACAAAAAAATGTATTAATTGGACATTGACGTAAAACATCAATTGCGGCGGTTGAGTGGCGATGCAATGACAAATACTTAAAAGTTTGAGCTTCTTCAGTTCACTACTATTTATACAAAAAAAATGAATTCAATGAACAAAATTCAAAACTCAATTAGAACAAAGTTAATAGTAAATTGTTTACCGAGGGAGGAGAGAACTATTTTAAAGGCGAGAGCGTTTTTAAATCCACAGCAGATTTTGTAAATAAAAGAGTTAACTTTCATTCTCACTACAAGAGGACGACAATATTTTATTTATAAATCCGAATTTGAGTACCTTATAAACAGAAGAATAACAGGTTAACTAAGGCAAAATGTATTTAGCCCGTTTGAGTTTAATCTTAAACTTTTTTTTAAATTGGCGAGCTTATTCATACAATTTTCGTGGTTGTTGTCTTTGGTGTTTGGAACTTTTATTGACAATATCAAAATTCCAAATTAAAATCACTTTGAGTCCCTAGGGATTAAAACGTTACTTCGGTCCCTGTAAACAGGGAACAAACTAGCTCTTTTAGAATAGACGTCACAAAAGAATATTTATACCACCCACCAATCCTCACTGGGTCAGCATGACGAGTCATGGTTCAATCTTCCTATTCCATAGAAAAGGTATCCTCAGCAAAGGTATCCGCACTGGGCCCAATACGGATTTGTCTCAGTGCGAAATGGGCCCAGTGACGAGCAGGCACAGTACGAAATGGGCAAAATGTGGAATGGGCCCAGTGCGAAATGAGGCCAGTGAGAAATGTGACGCTCCCGGTTCATCGCCACCGCTCGCGGTCCATCCCCATCACTCCCGGCCCGTCACTCACCAAAAGATCTTTAAATTAAGTCCACAACCACCATCGTCAGTGAACCTTACTGCACATTTAGCTACCGGCCCAGCTGCCTAACTAGTTGCTGCGCTAGGCTGTGACGATAAATTTTCGCCTAGCCGTATCCGGCAAACCGTCCGAAAAGGAACTTCGTTCCAATTTGCACACGAACAAGACATGAAATCCATAAAAGGTTTTAAAATGGATACCATTAATGTTTTGTTTCAACTTTTTGATTTTTATTTAGACTTGGTAAGTTGAAACAAACTGTGTCGTTTTCCTTAAAAAAAGGGAAATATTTCTAGTCTGCTCTTCTAATATCCAAAACGTTCCGTTTCCTAGAATTGTGATTGATTGTAAAATTATGTTTTTGAATAATTATTGACAGAAAGCGTAACTAAAGTATTTTATTTAGTTTAAGTAAAAGTTTTATTGTCTTCTAATATGCTTTGTGTTTAATATATGATTAAACTTATTTCAAATGAAGTGCTTACAATATTTTTTTCCTTTATTCCGTAAACCGTATCGTATATGTCATTTTTGTTTTGTTCTACACGTTTGTTGACAAAAAATGTAAACAAACTTTTGAAACAAGGATTTCTTTAAAATTATATTTCAGGGCGAGAAATATGACGGTCGCCGTGCAGACGTCTGGTCCTGCGGAGTCATCTTGTACGCTCTGCTGGTGGGAGCTTTGCCCTTTGATGATGATAACCTCCGTCAATTACTTGAAAAGGTAAATCAACGTGTACAACTATGGAATTAAAACGTAGATATTACTTTCTTTATGTACTTTTTGAATATTAAGAGCTTTGTTCGTGTTTTGTTGAGTTTTGTCTACACTATAAAATCTAGATTTTCGTAGAACAGTCATAAGTATACACGCTAAAAAGTGTTACTAGAAATAAAATGTAGGTAGGTTTCAGTCAGGCAAAATAAAGAAATTAACTGCTTAGATAATACAAAAAATGTGAGAGAAATATGTATAATACCACTTATAATTAATTATTATTAGAATTATGCATTTAAGGCAAGAGCTTTGAAACAAACTTACAAAATCAATTTATATGTAACTCTAAATAATATATTTCAGGTCAAAAGAGGGGTGTTTCATGTTCCCCATTTCGTACCGCCCGATTGCCAGCAGTTACTCAGGGGGATGATTGAAGTCAATCCGGAAAAAAGAATGACGGTGAGGATGCACTTATAAATTACCAATAATGCTAATTGGATTGATTATTCTTTTTTTGGAACAAATAGTTCGTAACATAAAGACAAATACATAGGTTGCAAAAATCACTAAAAGAGATTCCAGCCAACCTAGGTGGCGTCGGAGATTCCGAACTTAGCAGGAAACAGAAAGTGCAATAAAATTAAACTAAAAATATTTTACAACTGTCATTATCACACTACTATTATAAAGGCGAAAGTTTGTGAGTGTGTATGTTTGTTACCTATTACGTTAAAACTGCTGGAACGATTTTAATAAAATTTGGTATGGAGTTAGTTGACACCCTGGATTAACACATAGGCTACGCTTTACTGCGGGAAAATATCCCTAATAAACCGTGGGTAACATCGCGGGGCACAGCTAGTAAGAAGTATAGAGAAATAATAAGTAACTAACTGAGCAGTGTTAAGCAAACTTTGACCAATGGGTATTTTTGAAGCTAAAAAAAAATTGTTCTGTTTAACAATGTTAAAATATGATTGTGAAAGTAGATAGTGACCATTGGTAATTTTTGGGATATAACAAAACAAATTTTGATATGGGTTTGCAAATTTTTACAAATTTTCTCTTGCTTCACAAATGCCACTTTCTGCTTAAGAGCGCTCAACTAAGGTCTGCTATTTACCTTATTATTCTAATAAAGTTAGGATCTAATCCTCTTATTGCATAAATTCAAACTCAGTCAGAAAATTATAGCGACAATTTTTTTACACATTTGCTACACAAAAGACAGAGACAGCACTAGCTTTTAGCCAAACCTCCCTTTATTTAGTCCACAAATCACACTAATATTATAAAGATGAAAGTTTGTGAGTGTGTATGTTTGTTACTTCTTCATGTCGAAACAGCTAGAGATATTAATAAAATTTGGTATGGAGTTATTTGACACCCTGATAAAATATACCTAATAAACCACAGGTAACACCGCCGGGCACAGGTAGTCTGTAATATGGGGAAATGGGTTTGCCACATATAAACCTTCCTCTTGAATACTCGTATCTATTGCTAAAAACTGCATAAAAATCCACTGCAGTGTAAAAGATCTAGGAGTGCTGAAAGTACAGTTTATCCACATAAAGTCAATCATTGGGATAAACAGTACTTTCTAGGCCCAAGAGTAGAAACTTCACAATTTTGTTAGTTGCAACTTCACAATTTTTTATCGAAAAGGTTTCTGTTATCCACATTATTAAACAATGTGTCCACATTTACGCACTGGTAGTTATTTTTTTATGTTATACTGTATACAGGGTTAATTTTAAAACACCAACAGCCTCTTAGAGGGGGATTCTACCCATCAACAGGAACCACTTTTATTATGGGACCAATGCTGAAATCGCGAAAAAAAACAGCTGTTTCATACATTTCGGTTGATTAGCTGATGCACTTTTATATGAAACAGCAGATTTCTTTTTCAGCATTGGTCCCATAATAAAAGTTATTCCTGTTGATGGGTAGAATCACCACCTAAGAGGTTGTTGGTGTTTTAAAATTAACTCTGTATATAACGAAGATAATGTGATCATAGTTGGCTGAAATCACGAGGCATCAGTGGGTGACGGCCGGTGGTAGAGGAGAGCTGGAACAAGAGCTACCGATGATGGAGGTGGTCCAGACGAGAGTGCTGCCTTCTGCTGATGCTATAGACCCTGATGTATTACAGGTGAGTTTCATTATTTAATTAAAAATATATTGATTAAAAAAACGACTGGTTACACTCCGGGAGTGCCGGCAGAAGTGAAACCTTGAATATTAACATTGTGCATTTTTGACATTTTGGAATGGTTAGGGAATAATTTTGCGCGAATTGCTTTAATTATCAGTATAAAAGTACTATCATGTATGTGGTAGAATACAATATTTATTTATTGCGCTATCGTACACAAACATGACAATTTATATTACATTAAAAAAGTTTATCTCTTTGAATGAATCACTTTTAAGCGCACCTAGCGACATCTATTGTAAAAGATTGCATTTTCTTCGCTATAAAGCTACCACGTGGACGTCCTAGATAGAGACCACGGAGGAAAAACAAAGAGGAGCTGGCCTAAGCAACTGTGCACTGTGATTTTCAACTAGGTCCTGACGTCATCATTGTGGGCGGGGCCTAAGTCAGTATGCTTTCAGCGTTCGTCAGGTGCACACTTAACGAGACTCGCATTATAAGTGTTTTTTTGCGTTTTTAACAAGAAAAGGATGAAGTTTTGTGTTTTACTATGTCAAAGTTACTCAGACAGACGTTCTGATAATATGGATGGCATCACATTTCATTTGTAAGTAATGTTATACGTAATTAAATATATAAGTTCTAGAACATTCTCAGCCTCAGCTATCAGCGTTAAAATTCTACTACTTGACACCAGATGGCGACACTTTTAGGAAGAAAATACACAAGTTTACGTATAATTTTGCAGTAGTATATTGTAATAATCATACGTAAATACTGAAAACTGTTATACACTTATTCCTAAATAACTTTTAGTATCTAAAACAGTAATTTTATCAATATATTACTAACTGGCCGCCATCTGTCGTCATATAGAATAACTTTTTAAACGTTACAAATATCCAGGGCGTACGTATTAAATTATTTTACCAAGTAAATAAATTTTAATAATTTTTATGTTCGTTTTAGATTTCCATCCAACGATAATTTAAAACAGCAATGGATTTCAAAACTTAATAGACCGGATTGGACACCATAGAAGAAGAAGATATTTCCATTTTAAATGAATCTTCTGTGCAAAAAAATAATATTACATCAGAACGTTATCGCATTTTAAATAAAATGAGTTTCGAGTCTTCGGATAGCATGGATGTCGAGCCTATGCCTGACGATATGTTATTGGAATTTGATGAACAATTAAATACAACTATAGGTGACTATTTGCGCCGTCATATAGTAGCATATATTTCTGGGTATGTGGTCAAATATTTACATTCCAAGATCAAATGTGAGAGCTGTCTCAAATATGCTGATAACTACGACGATAGTGACCTTGATTTGATAAAAACTAAAAATAAGGGTGGTCTTACTTTCCCATCTAGCGATGTCTTAAAAATATGTATACGGACCGAAGGCAGTATTCGTTGTGTTAAATCGCAATCTTTGAATACTCCTAACTTTCGTCAACATAAAATTGTATCGAATACATTAAAATCACTTATTGGACAAGATTGTTTCAAAAAATCGGCCAACCATATGTTTGACCAATCACCTACAGTTAATCATGTTGTATTTCTGATGAAATCGATTGCAGAAAAATATATATAAATAATATATATAAACTAACCAAAACTATTATTTACAGGTAATTGATGTTTTTTAATAAAATTATGTTTGTAATAACATTTTATTATTTTTAAACTACCTTAAAATTTAAATCTAAAGAAAATATAACTAGAAAAATATCCACGCGGACCAGGCAGCAGACGGGAGCGGGTGCGGGTTCGAGTCCCGTCTGCTGCCTGGTCTGCCTGGATTTTTTTTCATCAAGCCGTTACATGTTTTAAAATAATAAAAATTATACCTTAAAATTTTTAAAATCGGTCAAATTTGTTAACGTTTATTTTATTTATTTACCTACATATTTCATTTTTTTGAAGCTTCAAGTTCTGAGTACGTCCCATTATATACAAAACTTTTGAACATCTAGTGTTAGATAGCTGAACTACTACGTAGTAACATAAATATCAACCTAAGCTAGTTTTGCTATTAGCCGATAGATGAAATATTGAGAAGTGGGCGGAGCTGAACACCCTTTCCCCACCCATCCCGCAAATTATCACGCGTCGTTTCTTGAGGAAATTTAATCACCACACCTCCTCTTTGTTTTTCCTCCGTGATAGAGACTTATTATTATAATACGATAAAATAAAAAAATACTATGTTTCGTCCAATATATTGAAAGACAACAACCTTTCCAATTTTATTGTGTGTCATGATGCGATCAGCCCACGTGTTTAACCTGACGCGAGTTTAACATTTTTTACCCATACAAAAAAAGTGTACAACGCCGCTAAAGAAGTTTTCACTTCAAAAAACAAAAAATTGGTTGTCTGTCAAGTTGGTTTACGGACGATAGTTTTACGTGATAACGTCATATAGAAACATTGATGAGAAATTGCATATTGCTAGCTCTGACGTCACGCGAGAAGAGAGATAAATGTGTACAAGCTGACAGCAGATGTTTTTGTGATGAATACGAGCATTTGTACTCCAGTCATGGATGTTTGATATGTATTTCTATATAAATATATTTACATATGTACAGTATATGTATTCTATCCGTTACCATAGTATCCCATAACACAAGCCTTACAGTGCTTACTTTGGGATAGGCTAATTGGTTAATAATGAGTATTTAAAAAAAGAAAAATATAGAAAAATATACTTTCCTGCGAGAAGATTGTATCCGAAAAGCGAAATCCGAAACCGAAGCTATAGACCCTGATGTCTTTCAAGTGGGTTTAGTTGTGTTATTGATACAAACTAGGTTGCTGAAAAAAGATTGACATACAGTTTCACAATGCACATGAATATTACCAAAATTATATATATATATACATATATATAACTCTACTTCCAGGGCCCAAGAGGTGATATTTGATGTTTTTTTGTAGAAAAGGTCTGTTTTAATAGATTTGCTGCCGCGGCACGCTCGCTTTGCTCGCTCGGCTCGCGCGTTATAGTCACAACACTAACCTAACCTAACCAAGTGTGAAGTATTACCGCTTGGGCCCTGGAAGTACAGTTTAGCCCAATCTCGTTCAGTGCATTTTTAGATAATAGTTAAATTTATATTTTACAGGCTATCTGCAGTTTAGGATGCTTCAAGCAAAGAGATAAGCTAATACAAGAGTTGCTGAGTCCACAGTGAGTAATATGGCATTTTAATTCAATAAAATTTATTTCATAAGACTGGTAGGACATTGCAAAATCTGCATAATACTTATATATATATATATATATATATATATATATATATATATATATATATATATATATATCTCTTTCGAAGTGGTCAACTGAAATCAATGCCTGAACTATGCAATTGTTAGTCTATATGAATATAAAAAAAATATTTGGTTAAATAAATATTAGAACGTAAGCGACTGGGCTCAAGGGCGAAAGACCCAAAATTGGGTCGAATTGACCATATGAATTTGCAACCTTTTTGCTAACCTAATAAAAATTACAATGACATTTTAATTTTATTGGTGAACTTTAGGCAGTTTTGTCAATATCTCTGACCACAAAATTATAATAGTAAAATAAAACAAAATCAACAAATCAAACTTTAAAATCTGTTAATTTTGGAAATGAAATGTTTAAAAAGTCATAGTTGCTCCATTTTATAGGAATAAATATTATAACTCTTTTATTTTTGTCGTGATTAACCCTAAATATTTCTCTTTTTCTATTCAGAGTTCTTATATGACTATAATTTTGTTATTCTAAATTAAAAGATAGCTTTCATGTTAACATGCTATTTACTAATAACTGTTTCTTTAAGAGTTGTCGTTGATGAGAGTTGTCCAGAATTTATTTATACTTTATACTAGTCATCATCAGCCTTTTAATGTCCCAACTGCTGGGGCACAGGCTTTCCCTATGGATGGAGTAGGAATATTGAGCCATGGCCACCACTACGTGGGCCCAGTGCGGATTGGTGCGTGCAGCCGGGACCAACAGCTTAACGTGCCTTCCGAAAAACGGAGGAGTGAGAGTTAGTAAATTTTTGGTCACCCTTCCAAAGACCGACCACTGCGAAAGTTGCTTAACTTCAACGATCGCAGCCGAACGCGCTATCCACTTGCGCCATCGAGCTTCTCACTTTATACATTATTTAAACTAATGATCGCATAATGGCCGAAAATAGACCTTTTAGTTCTTCTGTCAAAGAATGAGTCCTATGTGAGTTTCTTTTGTTAACGAGTAATTGTGTACATCAAAAGCATGTATAATATTTATTTAATTAATTTTATGTATTCCTAATGTATTATTCCACAAACAAACAGATTTTTTCAACATCTCACTTTCCATAAACAAGATGTGCTTTAATGACTTATATTACGAAAATTTGTCTTCAAGTTATAATATATTTGATTTATTGTTTAGCCTTAATATATAGTACATTACTGCAGCGGCCAGCAAAAGAGGCCAATGTCTCACCATCAATATGGACGAACGTGTAAATTTATTTATACTATATACAAGTTTTGTTTTTTATCATTTATACTAAAGATTTCCCAATGGTTTAGCCTTAATATAATATTGTTATGTATCATTCAGCCACAATACAGAGAAAGTGATATACTTCCTATTACTGGAGAGAAAGAGACGTCGTCCAGCCAGAGACGATGAACCAAGGCCTCCGGCACCACCAGCTCCTGCTGATCCGCCTAGAAAACGGCTGGATACATGCCGGGTAAATATAGAATAATATGTTCTTATTTGACATTATTACATACAAAGACATATTTTGGTTCATGCGTCGTGCTCGTAAAGGTGCTGCCAGAGGAAGTATATCCAAACTTCCTTGATATTGAAGATGTTAATGTCTAGTTGCACTCAATATAAATAACACTATAGCTATTAACGGGATTGTTACCATGTTCCTTGTTTTTTTGTTCTGAGTATAAGTTCTCCCGCCGTAGATTTACGAACCGATGGCGTAACTTCTAGACATTCATGAGAGCTTGTAACAGCCTAAACTGAATAATTGATTATGAGTATGTAAGCATGCATATTATATGGTTTTTTATATTTACAAATTTTGACATTTTCAACATTCATAAAGACAATTTAATAAGGTTTGTGTTTTTTTTTTTAATTTATTTGTGCTCTTTTTGTTAATTCAGGTGAATGGTCAATCAGCACATTTCGGTCAAATAAGCGAAGGTTCCCCAATCACACCCCGAAGATCACAGTTCAGGTAATGAAAATTTCATTAGTAAATTCAGATCATAGTATTTTAAACATTGTGAATACAACATGACCCTTTCCAATTATTTATCGGAGAGATTTTTCTAATTAAGAGTCTTAAAGGGCTGATTTTTTCTTTTCTTGGATAAATAGTATCTATTATCTAAATTATTATAGAAATGGCTCCTGCAATCCCAAAAATTACATGAGCAACGAAAACATTTTTAACCTGTCTGTATTTAAGGATATCAGACGTATAAAATTTACAATTTGCTTGTAGGAAATTTTGTTCTTAATCCTTTAAATTGTATCATTAAAGAAAGGAATCCAAAGTGCCGACACTAGACATTGCGTCTTTCGTACGTTCTTGGAAGAGCATGTGCGGGGTACAGAATATCTTATATCGACATTTGCGATTCCTTTCTTTAATGTCTTGCATTATACTCAGGCGTCGTAATATTTAATTATTATTGTAATCGGAATCTTTAGTTAAAATAAAATATTAGTGTAACGTGCACATAAGCACATTTTTTTTTGTATTTGTCGTGCTTATTAAGCCGTTTCCGTTGAATTTGTTTTCGACTGATGTTAGAGGTGTAAAAAGGAAAACTCGTCCGAATCAAAAGTCGCCCCAATTTCTGTCTTAAATCATTTGTTGATTTTTTTATCTAAAACTATTACCTTATGTAAATTACAAATCAGATATTTTTCGGATTCCTGAACAAACGGAATATTGGGGCAACTCTTGACTGAAGCAAGTCATTCTTTATTCCTCGCGAACTGACCTTTTACTTGTTGCAAATCGACCCTTATAAGGGGCGAGTAGTCCCTTACTGGGGGCGAGGTTACTCATACTTGTGTGAATTGAGTTAGAAATCTTATATGATGCGAGTCGACCCTTTTATAAGCCAGCCGCACTATATTTGAGGCGAGTAGACCCCTACACCGGCAAGTTCATCACTACTGCGAATGTGTACACCATACTATATTTACGGGCGTGTTGACCCCTGATATGAACGAGTTTCCCCATACTACATGTGAATTGAATTTGAAATCTTATATGATGCGAGTCGACCCTTTTGTAATCCAGTCGCTCTATAATTGGGGCGAGTAGACTACTACATGGGCGAATTGACCCCTACTACGAATGGTTATCCCGAGTCAACATATACATGGGGAGAGTTGACCCCTGATATGACCAAGTTTCCCCATACTTTATGCAAGTTACCCGCACAAAGGGTCAACTCCCCCCTCCCCCCATCGTTTCTATGTAACATAACACGCACTGAGGGCAGGCTTGCCCGCAGCAGATCTGCGTCGAGTCGTCGAGCTGAAGGGAGGAGTTCACCCCAGTTGCCAGCCAGTCCGCCTTGTAAGTTTTATTTTTTTATTAATTTATTTTTAGATTACATGTCAATGAGTATAAAATATAATAAATTGAGGAGCTCGATGGCGCAAGTGGTTAGCGCGTTCGGCTGCGATCGTTGAAGTTAAGCAATTTTCGCAGTGCTCGGTCATTGGATGGGTGACCAAAAATTTACTATCTCGAGCTCCTCCGTGCTTCGGAAGGCACTGGGCCTGCGTGGTGGGTCATGGCCCAATCTCCCTATTCCCTTCATAGGGAAGGCCTGTACCCCAGCAGTGGGGACATTAATAGGCTGATGATGTTGATGATGATGAGATGGCGCCACTGTTAAGCGAGGTCCTGAAGTGTAGCTTTAAAAAGTTTTGTTAATACGCGCGTGAAATCAAAGTTTACATTTAAATCATATTATAATACAAAAGAATCGTATCGTAAACATAATCGGTCATAACACAGTATTGTGCAGTCCCATTTTGTTCCGAAAAAAGGAGGACCTATTAATTTTTTCTTAGCTCCGCTTTTAAATAAATGACTTTAAATGACATGTAACTCGTATATTTGCCATATTTAATTTGAGTTATTATCAAAATTTAACAACATAAACATTATTTAAATTTGAAAACTCGCGTACTCAACCTACAAGCAATGACATTTGATATTTCGGAGACCTCACGCCTACACAAGCGCCTCTAGCGGCGGATTCATACGCGATATCCCTCACTTATAACATATTCAAATTTATAAATTTATTTTGTAAGTATGTAACTGCTCGTAGTTTAAATGTAAAAAAATATTTCTAGAAAAAAATCCACGCAGCCCAGGTAGCAGACGGGACTCGACAGAAAGAATTCGAAACGGCCATCAGGGCCGCGGTGCATAATTGGTCAGTGCATTCGCCCGGATAGTGAAGGGTGCGGGTTCAAGTCCCATCTGCTGCCTGGTCCGCATGGATTTTTTTCTAGTAATATTTTCTTTAGATTTAAATATTGAAATAGGGATGATGACTCGTTTATAAGGTAGATTATCAACAAGTATTGGACACGTATTTTTTTCTTTTTTCACATAATATAAACATTGCAGAGATACATTGATTTGAAAAGTCGCATGACGTCACGTTTTGGTACAATTTTCACTTAAAAGTGACGTCACGAGCCCCTACTCCCAAACTTTGACGCGCTTTATCTTTGTCATTTTTTGGTTGATTGCCCAAAGAAAAAATACGTTTCCATTATTTTTTGATCATCTAACTGACGGAATTAATAGAATTTCGTTTACTTTACCCCGTCATCATGCCTATTGGTCAACCTATGTAGGTACTATTGTTGTCATGACGTATTTATTTATCGTGTTCAACAGCAGGTCATACTCCCCATCGGGTTTCATCGTTGGGTGGGACGCCTGCCACCCCAGGGTCACCTTTAGGTAAGTATGAAAACTAACCTTAATCACCGAGATTTAAAGTTGAAAGTGACAACTTCTTTTTTCTATAATGTCTACAATAACGAACCTTAACTTTTGTGCCTTAAAGTCGAAAGTAAATACTTTTTTTTATTTAATCTTAACTCTCAAAATTTTATCAGACCTATTTTGCACAGTACAGTCGCTTTGGTCACACTCACAGATGTTAATGATATAGAAGATTATGGGTAATTGAAACGCTGATTTCACTGATGAAATTAACTGTACTATATTAATTTCGTCACCAAGAAGGTATACGTCTGTTCCCTAGTACTGTCCGACACAAAGTGAGAGCTGCACTAGTGAAAAATCACTAAAGCAAGATGGCGCCTAAACTACAGACACAGCCATAGACACAGAGCCTTAGACTTAGCCATACTATAAACTAATATTTAATAGATTAATTTTTGCAAATTGTTAATTAAAATCAACAAATAATCAATTTAATTACAATTGAGGCTAATCACTTCTCTTCCGATAGCAATAGAATGAGTCAGCACGTTGCAATAACAAGCATTAAGTTTATTTGACGTCTTTGAGTACGGCAATAATTATGTTGGTATGTAAAATTTTATTTTGTTTCAACTGACAGCCGTCCTGAGAAACGTCAAATTAATTCAATGCTAAATGGATTGTATATAAGTATTACCAACACTCACACCAATTAGCCTAGCACCAAAGTAAGCACTGTAGGCTTGTGTAATGGGAAACTAAGTAAACGGATAGAACAGATATAGTGATACATATTTAACTATATTTATAAAGAAATACATATTAAACATCCATGACTGGAGTACAAATGCTGGTCATCATCACACAAACATCCGCCCCCATCGGGATTCGAACCCGGGACCTCTCGAGAAGGCGACACCTTAAAACCCGGCGTACAAACCACTCGGCCACGGAGGTCGACGATTCTTGTGTTATCTCATTCTTTTGTTATCGCAAAGAAAGAGACAGCTGCAACTTGAGAAAAACTCAAAGATTGATTGACTTCTTTGAATGCGGCCGCAAAATAGGTTAAAATTTCCTACTAAAATTTAGATATATTTGCATTTATTAGACAAATATATAAAAATGGTGGTATTTTTATGTACTAGCATCACCATCTATGAGGGAGCATCATCATCAGAGAGCGAACTCAACGGGGCCTACGATAAGCCTCAACATAAGTAAGTTCAAGAAAAACATTTACTAGAAAAAAATCCTCGCCACCTTTCGCTATCCGGGCGAATGACCTAACCATTATGCTACCGCGGCCCTAATGGATATTGTATGCGCCCGGATCGCGAAGTGAGGCAGCAGACGGGACTCGAACCCGCACCTTTTGCTATCCGGGCGAAAGCACTAACCATTATGCTACCGCGGCCCTAATCGTTAGTGCATACGCCCGGATAGCGAAGTTTGCGGGTTCGAGTCCCGTCTGCTGCCTGGGCCGCGTGAAATTTTTTCTAGTAAAATTTTCTTTAGATTGTAACATATAGCAGTTAAATGCTTTAAATATATAGCATTTATTATGCTTTTTAAGACTTTACTTTCACTAAGTTATAGAGCTAAGTATGTAGGTACACACAAAGGAGACCCGGCACTTTTCATAGAAAAAATGCTAAACTTGTATACAATTGAATTTGGTCTCAAAATAAAGCCAAAAATTAATTAAAAATTATTTGCTACATAAAACTACTTTTGTCTTATTTTTAGTGAATCGTGGAAAGAAGTTATATAATAATTAATATTTTTTGATATGGAAACCCTAAATCTTCAAGCGACAGAATTTTACTTAAAATATTACTCAAATGACTGTAAAAACCATTATTCCTTTGCTTTTTCTAAATAAAAAGCCAAATGTTAATTTGACAATCCTAAAATACAAACAAAAAAATCATTCGCATCCGCTCCCGCGAACTGTGATTGCGAATGTTCTCTGCTGTGATTGCCTTTTTATCCGTTATTTCTCTTGATGACCCGGCTACATATAGAGGTTATATTGACAAACCTACGCATTTGACATTGACAGCTAGCTGCTGATGACAAATATTGCCACACTACGTTATCCAATTATGAAACACAGATAAAAAAATTAAAAAAGTATACAACTTTGGCACAAAATGCCGGGTGTCCTTTCTTCAATAGGAAGGCTCCATTGCCTCCATTTCACTAACAGCCGTCATGGCCGCCTTTGATGTTGTGATGCTCTTCTGTTGTGTTACAGTTACAAACTTAGTAAATTCCAAAACTTGGTAACAAAACTGGGAAAGTCCATCTTATACTTAAGGTTTTACTCAAAAGTATTGAAGTGAAAGTGATGAACACTTGTATTTCCATAATGTATTACATTCTGCATATAAATAATGCTTAACATTAGAACCTGCCATTATTAAAATAATCATTTTTATCGTTCACTGAACATTTTGCCAATGTGGACTTTACCAACTTTGATTGTATACCCCTCAAATACAGTTTACGATCTTGCCAGACAGATTATAAACTAACTGTTCCCACAATTATACGGTGGCATTGTATTTAAAATATTTTGGTATTTATTCATAGGTGGGGAGCCTGGCGAAGCTGTGATTATAATTAATGAATCGCCCATAATGGGCTCCTCCGTGGCTCACAGGCCGCATAGTCCTTCGCAATCGAGTAGGGGTAAGTCGAAAAGTTATTTATTACTAGCTGTGCCCCGCGGTGTTGCCCGCGTTTTATTAGGGATATTTTCCCGCAGTAAAACGTAGCCTATTTGTCAATCCAGGGAGTCAGCTAACTCCATACCAAATATTATTAAAATCGCTACAGTCGTTTAGACGTGAAGAAGAAACAAACATACACACTCACAAACTTTCGCCTTTATAACATTAGTGTGGTTATAATAATAATTAATTACCAGATTTGTATTAGTTTTTGTAGTAAGATTTGGATATTGAGGTGGAATTCTATCTTATTAACAAACTTTGTTTGTTTTGGTTCAAGTATGGAATGTGTTTGCATTATTTTGGGTAGAATGCTAATACTGGATTCCTCAACGATATTAAATACCCTAGATTCACCAACATGAACAAAATCGTGGCCGAAACTTGTCCAATAGGTACATCGGACGATTCGCGGACCTCCGTAAGATGATCGCGTAGTCAAATACAAAATAAGGCATTATTTAAACATTGAAAGTCACCTTTAACGCGTACTGTATAAGGTCTTAATTAAAACGCATGCGTCAAAGACTTATGACAGTTCGAAATGGAAGCTCGCAAAATTTTACGACTTATTGCTATATGCGGAAGAATATAGACCTTATTCCTTTTACTTCTACGCGCAATTCTAAATGCGCTGTTAGCAATACAGCGGGTACGGACCGCGAGGAAAAGAACCGGCTATACGGCGACGTATAACCGAACATGCATTTGAATATTACAAATATTTTCTATTAAATCAGTTTACAGTAAATATTAGAACAAAATTTGCTTCAAATGCGTTAATTTTAATAAACACTGATTAGATACCTGTTGAAAAAATGACGGTTTACGTACTATAAGTATTTTATTTCGCATTTTTTTTCACGGAGCTCTGCGGCATCTGGACTTTTCGACGGTCCGCGCGTGACTGTGAACCAAGAAGTGCTTGAGTGGAGTTCAAGCACTTCTTGATTGGGACACATTTTGAGCGCTCGTGGTGTATCTAGGGTATTTTAATATCGTTGGGAGGCCTACTCTAATTCAACGAAAAACGAAACTTAGATCGAAACTTCGCATTTTTCCTACTGTTTCTGATTCGTTTGTAATTATAATAATATTTGTCGTCGGAATAAAGATTGAGGTGTATTATAATAATATTCGTCGTCGGAATATAGATTGAGGTGTATTATAATAATATTCGTCGTCGGAATATAGATTGAGGTGTATTATAATAATATTCGTCGTCGGAATAAAGATTGAGGTGTATTATAATAATATTCGTCGTCGGAATACAGATTGAGGTGTATTATAATAATATTCGTCGTCGGAATATAGATTGAGGTGTATTATAATAATATTCGTCGTCGGAATAAAGATTGAGGTGTATTATAATAATATTCGTCGTCGGAATAAAGATTGAGGTGTATTATAATAATATTCGTCGTCGGAATATAGATTGAGGTGTATTATAATAATATTCGTCGTCGGAATACAGATTGAGGTGTATTCTAATAATATTCGTCGTCGGAATATAGATTGAGGTGTATTATAATAATATTCGTCGTCGGAATAAAGATTGAGGTGTATTATAATAATATTCGTCGTCGGAATACAGATTGAGGTGTATTCTAATAATATTCGTCGTCGGAATATAGATTGAGGTGTATTATAATAATATTCGTCGTCGGAATAAAGATTGAGGTGTATTATAATAATATTCGTCGTCGGAATAAAGATTGAGGTGTATTATAATAATATTCGTCGTCGGAATAAAGATTGAGGTGTATTCTAATAATATTCGTCGTCGGAATACAGATTGAGGTGTATTCTAATAATATTCGTCGTCGGAATACAGATTGAGGTGTATTCTAATAATATTTGTCGTCGGAATATAGATTGAGGTGTATTATAATAATATTCGTCGTCGGAATAAAGATTGAGGTGTATTATAATAATATTCGTCGTCGGAATACAGATTGAGGTGTATTCTAATAATATTCGTCGTCGGAATATAGATTGAGGTGTATTATAATAATATTCGTCGTCGGAATACAGATTGAGGTGTATTCTAATAATATTCGGCGTCGGAATATAGATTGAGGTGTATTATAATAATATTCGTCGTCGGAATAAAGATTGAGGTGTATTATAATAATATTCGTCGTCGGAATAAAGATTGAGGTGTATTATAATAATATTCGTCGTCGGAATAAATATTGAGGTGTATTCTAATAATATTCGTCGTCGGAATACAGATTGAGGTGTATTCTAATAATATTCGTCGTCGGAATATAGATTGAGGTGTATTATAATAATATTCGTCGTCGGAATAAAGATTGAGGTGTATTATAATAATATTCGTCGTCGGAATAAAGATTGAGGTGTATTATAATAATATTCGTCGTCGGAATAAAGATTGAGGTGTATTCTAATAATATTCGTCGTCGGAATACAGATTGAGGTGTATTCTAATAATATTCGTCGTCGGAATAAAGATTGAGGTGTATTATAATAATATTCGTCGTCGGAATAAAGATTGAGGTGTATTATAATAATATTCGTCGTCGGAATATACATTGAGCTGTAGATTTTCTAAGCATACCCCAAAAGGCTTCAATCTGCTAGTTTATCGTTCATATTAGGTATAACCTTAAATTGACGAATTTAAATTCCGTTTGAACTTCGTTATCGAAACTTCGATTCGGAGAAAAAGAGTAGACCACCTGATCTTAGCAAAAGACGGGAATGGAACCCGCACCCTCAGCAGCCTAAGAAATACTATAATAAATTCGACACGACCATTAAAATCGTGGTAGCATAATTGGTTTAGTGCATCCGACCGGATAGCGGAGGGTGCACGTTCGAGTCCCGTCTGCTGTTTGGACCGCGTGGTTTTTTTTCTAGTAAAATTTTCTTTAGATTTAGACATAAAGCAGTTAAATGTTTAACTAATAAAATAGTTTTTCTCCTCCCATGTTTATTAGACACTATGTGTGATAAATAATAGTGGAAATTACCTAGACAATTGTTTAAACTTAATGTGCTTTTTAATTTGTGAAATAGGTATGTATACTATTTATACTATGTATGTAATATAATGATCGTAATCAAATCAAAAGTAAATTTACGCGCAAATGCACACGCAAATACACACACACACACACACACACACACATAAACACACACAAACACACACTTGCTAGTATTTAAAATATATAGACATTTAAGCGTTATCCTGTAACCCGCATTTACTGATAAATGGCGATAACTTTCTTTTTCTTTTGCTTATAATTTTGTTATTAAATTCACTATGGTTCTGTAACATTCAATGAAACATTAACTGATATGTACTAAAGGATTCATGTAATGCATAAGAATCTCTAGCAAACGGGCGTTAAGAGGATTTGAGCCTGGGGGTCGTAACACAGGTTTTGTAACCTAGTACAATCTCCAGCTCTCCCAAAGAACTGCATTGTTATTACTGTTTTGTTTTTTTTTGTATATTTTTATGTGTAAATTAATGCTATTATTTCCCTCAAAATAAATAAATCAATGCTTAAAAATTTTTTTTTTGTTGTAGTGAGAGAAAGGTCATCTCTCCCCGGTCCGACGAGCAGTAGTCAGTCGCCAGCGCAACCTTCACTATTCCCTAACTTAGGAACAATTACAGGTAAAACTTTATTTTATTTACTAGCGGCCGCCCGCGACTTCGTACGCGTGGAATTAGTTAGAAATAAAGGTTCACTGCTCTTTCCCCGTAGGTGATAGCGTGATAATATGTAGCCTATATGTTGACCCGATTTCTTATTAATATTCGTGCCTTTGAAGTAAATCCATGCAGTACTTTTTGAGTTTATCCCGGACATACATACAGACAAACAGACAATTTTTTTAAAAACTATATTTTTGGCTTCGGTATCGATTGTAGATCACACCCCCAGTTTTCTTTTAAAAAAATATTCAATGTTAAGTTTTGACTTTCCTACCATTTTATTATATGTATAGATTGAGTAATCTAATTTTGTTACATAAACCCAAGTTGTTAGTAACAATAGGGTATTTGGCAAGTTTTAGAAAACGATCTCACTTTATTTACTAATATTCTTGGAGGCCCTAAAAAGTGGAATCATCATTTTAGTTTAAAAAAACGAGTGTGCTTATGACCACACGACTGAAGTGAAACTTCTTTAGCTCCATCTGTATATATATATGTGTGTTTACAATATATACATGTATGAACTTATACATATAATATTTACTAGCTATTAGAGAAAGCGAGAAAGAAAATGTGCGCGCGCACTGCTTTCTCTTGCTTATATCCCCCACTCAAATACCGTTCGTCTCGCCCGAACACACTTTTCGTAACGCGTAATGCATTCGCCAGCTTACCCTAAGTCAAGCGTGCGTGAAGAAGTTTCACTTCAAAAATGGACTTATTAAAAAGCCTTTTGTCTCAGAGGGTGTTGAATGAAGTATACGTTTTCTTCTCTGTCAGTTGTGTTTTTTCTTGCTCTTTCACTTTCAACTTTGACTTTAAACTTTTCACCAGGTGTCCCACCAGGTAGTTCTGCGGGTAACGCAGGCGCCTCAGCCCCATGGCGAGTTAGATTGGCGACAATTAAGAATTCATTCCTTGGATCACCCAGATTCCATAGGAGAAAAATGCAGAGTGAGTAGATTAATATATAATAATAATAATTTCTTTATTTCTGGCAAAAGACCCATATGACAAAATTGATAATAAAAAATAAAAATAAAACTGTATATATTATAATAACATTAATACATACTAAAATTACCTAAAAAATAACATAGGACTTGCTGATATATGTATGTAACGAACTGCACCGAAAAGTGGTTCATTTTCAATAATATGTTATGGGATTCTTATTTGAAAAAATATGCTGATATGAATCAGCTGTTTGTTACACAGCTTTTTAATTGGATGGCGGCATTTAGTTAACCGCCTAGGCTGTTAACTAAATACCTGATTAGGCGACAAAATTTATTTTTAACAAAGTTTCTACAGTGAATTTTGTGGATGTATTACAATAAAATATAAATACATTCTTAAGGCTAATTACAAAAACTTATCTATATCACATTTTTTTTAAAAAGTATAAAAATCATATTACTTCAATCGATCATATTAAAAATCATAATTTACTAACATTAAATTAAATTAAGATTGGATAAGACATGATAAATGACAAATGAAAAGAAATACAAACACTAAACACCCATATAGAAGGGTTTTCAGGATATATTTAGAGAATATAAAGGGGTATATATATATATATATATATATATATATATATATATAATCAACCTTTCACGGTAAATGTTGATCCAGTACTGATTTAGAACAAATGTTGATCCACCTATTTCGTGTGTACATTCAGCTCTGGATTCAGATACGGCTGTATAGATCGAATATATGAATTCAGCGTCTGACGTCAGTGGATGTGCTCTTACCCGTTTTCAATTTACTCGTCATAAAATTTTAAGGTTTTTGTTGATCCAATAACGGTCAAAAAAATGATATGCAAGCGCAAAATGTGGCTCCGATTTATATCCGACTTTTAGTGGTAAATGTGGCTCCATAGTTGAATATGAAGAGTACGGCAACGTCGCGCTATTGGGCAAATGAAGCAAGCATACGTTCCATTAAAAGTGAATGTGAGACAACATTCTGTCGAGTATTTCTGCATTTTGAATTGTAGAGATGTGTTTTACACGAGTCCAGCATAAGCACTTCTAATAGATTTCTACTTTTTTAGTAAATTTGAGGCAAAGAGAACGATGTTATGTCATATGGCCTTTTCTTGTGGGGCTCAGCTGCCAATATCGAAAGTATTTTCATACTGCAAAAGAGGGCTAGCTGTTGCGCCATATACAACTTAAAAGCAAGAGAATCTCTTAGGGAAAATTTTAATCAAATTAATATTTTAACACTGGCATCGCAACACATTTATAAAAATATGTATAATATACTAGCTGTGCCCCGCGGTGTTACCCGCGGTTTATTAGGGATTTTATTCCGGAGTGAAACGTAGCCTATGTGGTAATCCAGGGTGTCAGCTAACTCCATACCAAATTTTATTAAAATCGCTCCAGGCGTTTATACGTGAAGAAGTAACAAACATACACACACACAAATTTTCGCCTTTATAATATTAGTGTAGGTAATATAAGAAAAAACTATGACGCATTTGCAAAAAAAGTCAAACCCATAACTTTAACTGGAGATTTAAGAACAAGCTTGCCGTTCTATGTTTCAGACTCCAAAATCAAGAGGTTTATTTCTGGGTTGTAGTATTGCACTGCTTAAAAAAGTTCCCCAAGATCTAATTGAGCTTCCACTGACCAAAAGATCTCAGATCAAGAATAATGTTATAAATGAGGGCTATTATAAAGTTGATGATTATCGAAATGATCTTAATGCATGGACATAGTGTTTCTTGTAATTTGATGGGTATTAGTAATTTTTCATAACAGTAATATGGTGCCTATCTAATGCCGCTTCCTATATACTAAATATAAAGTTAACTATAAAATTTATTGTTACTATATCCTAAATGATGTAATGAAAAGGCGACTTCAGAAGTAGCTTTGAAGTAATTTTTCAACTTGACCATTCTGTATATAACAATACAGGGAGAAAAAAACAGCCCTTGCTGAGTTTCTTGCCGGTTCTTCTAAGTACAAGGTCTCCCGCCGTAGTTTTGCGAATCGATGGCGTAGCTTCTTGACCTTCACAAGTGCTTCTAACAGCCTAGACTGAATGAATGATTAGTAGTAATTTCAGTAGAAAATCGGTATAGTTTAGTAGATTCGGTAGAAAATCGATTTATTTAGGACATTCTGAAAAATGGTCATCCAAAACATTATACCAGAAAATGAAATTCAATAAATGAAACTGGAGCAATGAATTTGAAGCACTGTAACTTGACATATGCAGCGTCGGTCAACCTTAACTGGCTCATTCTTCCCTGTAGGGGGGGTAAGTTCTCGAGGTCTCCTGTTCCCAGCACCGTCGAGCCGCCCGAACCCCTCTCGCTCGGAGAGGAGCGTGAGACACAGGGTGCCGGGGACGCAGGGAAGCACAGAGTCAGGTTGGGTCGTGGAGAGCCGGCGGAGGCGCCACTCGGGGCAGGCCACGCGCACGGCGCACTCAACCTCGATTCGGTCATACATAGGGATTGAGAGAACTTAGGATGTGCCAACCACCTATGGAGGGTACCGCGCATACAGGCATCTTCTCCTTCTTTCGCTCCGACGGCGCAAGAGGTCAGCTCTAGCGTCCACCTCGTGAGCTCTCTCCGTTGCCTCCTTTTGCGAGATTACGTCCTCACAAAAGGAGACCACGGCACGCCAAGACCTGTCGCCGCTCAGCATAGCGTTGACTTGCTAGGCAGAGAGTCGTCGTTAGGGTGTGACACCGCTGACCCACGCGCTTCGCACCTCTAGAGTAAGCTGCGCAGCGTCCTCAGTAGCGCCGCCCTCATGACACGACGGGGTCGCCTTCCTTCGCATCATGTGCAGGTAATTTCCAAAGCAGCTATGCCCGGACGCATCTCTTCCTGTCCTCACCAGAGCCTCAATGGCGGGTAGTTCACCTCGCTCCTTGGGGTCGGCGCGCTCATTGTAAACAACCGTCAAGATCTAAGCATCAAGCTTCCAAGACGGGTTGGCGGCTAGGATACATGTTACAGCCCAGGCGATCATTCGAGAGCCATCAACTGCGCAATTGGCCACGGTTCTCACGGTTCGCAGCATAGCTCTATTCTCTGTGTTAAGGGCGTCCACCCAGAACGGCGCACCATACAGGGCCATATTGTGGAGGACACCCACATATAGCCTTCGACAGGTGGCATTAGATCCTCCCAAGTTGGGCACAGGTCTGCCTAGGGCAGCTGCCGCTCCCTCTAGCTTGGGGCCCAGGCGCCGGAAGTGCTCACTACCTTCCAGTAAGAGTCAAGCCAGAGCCCCAAGGTACTTGATTGAGGGTTTTAATGGAACCGTTACCTCGTCCACTTGAATGTGGATGTTAATCCTGCTCTGGCGAAACTGGTCACCATACGGGGCAATAATTATGCAGACAGCATAATTATTGCCGCGTATGGTGACCAGAGTGTCGTCTGCATAGCAGATAACCCCTTTATGGGGCAGCAAATCTCCGCGAATCGCCCAATCAAAACCCACGTTCCACAGGAGCGGTCCGAGGACCGACCCCTGTGGAACCACGTACGTCGTATTGCGAACAACTGCTCGCCTAATAGAATCTGTATAGAACACTTCTCTGTCTTGGAGATAGTGCTCCATTATGACCATCAAATATGTGGGGAGCCGATGGTGGTAGAGGGACTTCCTAATACAGCTGTAGGGAAGGGTGCTAAATGCGTTTGCTATGTCAAGCGATATCGCTATGACAACCTCCCCTCTGCTAAATGTCTGTTGGGACAGCCGCTTTAGTCTGAGTATCGCGTCTACGGTGGACAGCCTTCTTCGGACGCCGGTTGGGCCGGGAGCCTTTATCTTCCCTCTGAGGCATTCCATGGCGTCCTGTCTCTTCGTCAGTCAAATCCTACTCATGTAATAACTGACCGCATTTAAACTCAATTCAAACGAAAACGTTCTTATGTTAAAACTAGCTGTCCCAGCGAATATCGTACCGCCATAAAAAAAGGGGTTGGTGGTAAAAGGGAGAAAATTTAGGGTTGTATGTATTTTTGTATGATGTATCATAAAAATATAAAAATAAAAAAAATAAAAAAAAATGTCCAAAAACAAAAAATATATTTAAGAGTGGACCACCCTTAACATTTAGAGGGTTGAAAAATAGATTTTGACCGATTCTCAGACCTACTGAATATGCATATAAAATTTCACGAAAATCCACATATTTTTTGTTGTATGTGTTTTTGTATGCAGTATCATAAAAAAATAAAAACAATAAAAATATTTAAGGATGGACCTTAAAAAACTCTTGACATTTATGGGAATGAAAAAAAGATGTTGTCCGATTTTCAGACCTACTGAATATGCATATAAAATGTCACGAAAATCGGTGGAGCGGTTTCGGAGTAGTTCAATTACGCACACCGTGACACGAGAATTTTATATATTAGATTAAAAGTTAAATTTTCGATTCTCAATGGACCAACTACTGTAGTAAGCGGAACGGCAACGTTGTATTGACCTCCATCGGCCAATCACGGTGGAAGTAATAAAGTGCTTTATCCTGATTGGTCCGTTTGAATCGGATCAACATTTATCGGAGCGGATTTGTATATTGGAGCCACATTTGACAAGAGTAATTTGCAGCCAAGTCACGTGACAAAAATACCAAATGTTGATCCGATCAGAGCCACATCAGTATGAGAAATAGCGTAATGGATCAACATAAAGCCTCCGGATCAACATTTGTTTTCGGATCAACAATTAACTGATCGTACGTCTCGAAAGATCAACATTTACCGTGTTGGTATCTCTATATATATATATATATATATATACTAGTGGCCCGCCCTCGCTTCGCTTCGGTGTAGAGCTGAAGTGTAGACTATAGTTTTTGTTCTGAGGCTTGTATTATACACAATGGCATTCTTCTTATACCTAATTACAATAGGCACGCGCCGCCAGGCCCCCCGACGCTACCGGGCTAGCGTCGGAAGCTCTATGTCCCTGCATTTTAAAATCGGTAATATCTTCGAAAATATTCATTTAAATTCTTTGAACAGCCAAATTGATCTGTATTAAATGCACAATGTATTTAAGGTACTTAATTGGTTAAGGATGAATATTATATTGCTGAAAATCGCTTCGTAAATAAGCTACTATTTCTCGTAAAAAGTATAAAATAAAAAATGGTTATTATGGGTTATCCCTAAGAGAAAGACATATACCATCGCGAACTTTTTTGTAGACCTTTTTAAGGTGTAGAATACTGTAGTGCATTATTTTGATCTATCTCGTAGGGTGCAGCCAGCGTTTGCAATGTAAACGCAAAAAATGTGTTTATTTACGACCTTACATTAAAAACCTCTAAAATTATCAGTGTTTCTCTACTATATTATGCATGTAAACCTTCCTCTTGAATCACTCGTATCTATTAAAAAAACGCATAAAATCCGTTGCGTAGTTTTAAAGATCTAAGCATACATAGGGACATAGGGACAGACAGCGGGAAGCAACTTTGCTTTATACTGTAGCGTCAGCGTGTACTTTGTATCTAGAACAAGCCGAGCACGGAAATACTATGTAGTGATAAGGGATGGCTGAAAAACTGCACAATTTATATTATATCACATTTTTTATCGCGTCTAACTGTCAAACTCCATAGTAATTTGACAATTGAGCGTGATAAAAACGCGTTATATATCATATCGCGGTGCTCATTATAGGGAGGCAGGTCCAGGCATGACCAACATTGGCTGAGCCATTCCCTGTTGTCCTGTTTTTAATAAAATATTATTTAAATATCTGTTACCATGTAAAAAAGACAATAAATTATTACAAAGAAGGAGATAGTAAGCCTCTCCGAGTTTGTTTCGCCGGTTCTTCTCAGAAAGGTCTCCCAATTTTGGAACCGGTGGTAATTTACGGTATTAGAATCAAATAAATATACTCAAAATTACAAAAAAGATTTTTAAATAAAGTACTTTATTAACTAAATTAACTAATTAATTCATACATAGACAATAAAGTTTTAAAAATCTTCCAATGAAATATCCGAACGCTCAATAAAAGTCTTTCGAAGGTAGCTCGACAAAGTAAATAAAAAAATCATTATTCTGACGATGCAGAACTGAAAAGGCTACGAAACGTCAATAAATAGAGTTCGTGCATTAACCCGTAAAAACTAGTTTTATATGAAACGTTTTCTTCCCAGCATCATCTGAAGAAGTCCATTTAACACCGGAATCATCACCGGAGCTAACTAAACGATCGTGGTTCGGCTCCTTACTGCTCTCCGCGGATAAGGAAGAGACGTTCACAGCTCTAGTCAAAGGGAAACCCTTGGCCACTGTGAAAGCGGACCTTATACACGCGTTTTTAAGTGTGAGTGACTTTATTGTAATATGTTTTAAAACTATTTTATTTAATGAGTGATGTGCGTAAAAACCTAAAAAACAAATATCATATTTATTAGTTATGAATGTAATGGAATGAAGCACTTGTATTTGTATTTGTAAAATTATTCTTATTTGATTTCCCTCACAGATAGCAGAGTTATCTCACAGCGTGCTCTCACCGATGTCTTTCCGAGTGGAATACAAGAGGGGTTCCAACGCGCCTGCGATGTTCCAACGGCATGTTAGATTTCAAGTGAGTTTAGAGATGGGCGTTTATATAGTGCGATTCAAATAAGAATAGGAAAGCCAATGACCTCCATCTGTCAAACGTCGCTTGGAAAGTACGGTTTGCAAAATAATCTCGGAATACTTTTTTAGCACTGAGCTAATCTTGGAATAAATACCAAACACTTGTAAACAAAAGAAGGAAATAAATCATATGTAACGTATAGAAAATGAAAAGATGATGATGATGATGATGATACTGGGTATATGAACTTTAGTTTTATTATAAATACAGGTAATAAAAATACCGTTTTTATTTTAAATAAAGTTGTCGTTTTAAAACGATATTTTATTTTATAACCAAAAGCCGCAGTGATGATCATGACGATAATGATGACTACTCCGACGGTAGTGCAGAGATGAGCGGAATTAAAGCGTCTTAATAAGTAAATATTATTAAGACTGAGTGAGGAAAAACTCTGATATATTTTCGCACTTAATCTTTGTAAATAAGTTTTATTACAGAAAACTTTTTTGCTCACTCTACCTAACTGGTTTGAATTGACAGCTATGACGTCACAATATGGCGCCCAATCGGTCCTATTCTTAGTTGAATCGCATTATAGATATTTTTTAAAACGATGCGCGTCGATATCAGATTAATCGCATCCAATGCGCGCATAGATGCCGGCATCGATATCGTAGTGTCGCAGGATGCGATGCGATACGAATTACGATAGATGCGTGTTTTGTGTGAGTTTTCTTCGATTCCATGAATCATGACTTGAAAATGTAATCGAAACCATTTATTTACTTTTCGGCATGGTAATTGAAAATATTGGCAAAATTATTACCTAAAAAGTTGCACTCAGAGCGTAGGTTTTGACGCAGTCCAGTGGCACAAACTTTTCTGTGCCGGTGGCAATAATTTGAACTACAACTTTTCCATAACATTCTGTCATTTTTGTTCACCGCTAGCGACATCTCCACCGGCACAGATAAGTTTGTAGCACTGTAGCTATATAGTAACGTTGGCAAAAACTAGAGGGAGGTTAGGGACAAGGAGAATGATCGCCGTAGAAAATAGTGCCCCAGAAATATGGACAAAATAAGTGAGGCGCTGCGATCGCTAAGTTGTCTCAATTAAAGCGGTCTAATTTGAAATGACCAATGTCGCGAAGAAAATTTGTACATTACTCAACTAACTTCATCTACTTGTACTCATAAACAGCTAACTTCACAGATACTACTTACGAACGACAGCGCGGCTGGTGACTGAAAAATGAACTATAAATTCTACAAATTTTCAGGGACACGCTGGCTAATGCTTTAGTACGTAGCGATCGTTCTCCTTCTCTCTAACCTCCATGAACTAGATGGCTTCGGCATCCAATAACGGTACCCAGTCGCATCGTTATCGCGCATCTAAACCTGACATCGTTATCGCGCTTCGTTATCGCGCATCGTTATTCTAAAAACGCCCATCCCTAGTTATTTATAATAAATAATAAATATTTCCAACACTCTCACCAATTTGCCTAGCCCCAAAGTAAGCACTGTAGGCTTGTGTTATGAGATACTAGGTTAACGAACAAAATACATATACTGATACATATATAAGTATCAGACCCCTCTTTCCCAGTGGGCATTTTGGGCAAGTGCCCAGGGCCCCGCGATCGATAGGGGCCCACCTCAGATCAAATACAAAGACCCTAGTTCTGTTAAATCACCAAACGGGGGTCATAGGGGCCCCATTATCCTAATATGAACAGGACCTCCAATAGGTCAAAGACGTCACTGATAAGTATAATTATATAGAAATACATATTAGACATCTATGGCTGGAGTACAAATGCTCATGTTCATCACACAAACATCTGCCCCCACCGGGATTCGAACCCGGGATATCCGGAAACCCGACGTACATACCACTCGACCACGGAAGTCGTCCGAAAGCAACAGTATTTTTCTTATTTGGCAATCGGTTTCGAAAACAGCTGAAGTAAAAAGTTCTATGTTACGTTAACCACAAATAAAATAAAATAAATATTTTTAACACACACCAATTAGCCTAGCCCCAAAGTAAGCATTATAAGGCTTGTGTTATGGGATGCTAGGGTAACGGATAGAATACATATACTGTACATATGTAAGTATATTTATGTAGATATACATATTAAACATCCATTATTGGAGTACAAATGCTCATGTTCATCACACAAACATCTGCCCCCACCGGGATTCGAACCCGGGACCTCTCGAGTCGGCGACACCATGAAACCCGGCGTACCCACTCGGCCACGGTGGTCGCCAATTTTATTTTACTGAATTATTTTTTATTACATCTTTGCTATGCATCTATAATTTAATGGCATTTTACTAATTTTAATTCCAGATGCTAACCACTATGTAAATTCGGAAAAGTTAATCGTGTAAATATTTATTTTAAACTAATGCGAAGTCGCAGGTAATAGCTAGTATTAACTCATAATACGAACACTTTCAGGTGGACATCTCTACGATAACGAAAGCGCCCGGTGAGAACGGGAAGGAGTATCTGTATGCTATCACTTTCACACTATTATCAGGTAAGGCCACTGTAATGTTTGATTTTGGGCAGGGCGTGACACTGACACTCATATTACTGACACACGTAGGACAGCTGTTTTCTTCTTCTTCTTTCTTTTTTTTAATGGCTCAACGGGGATATACCCACAATTCTGCCAATTTCATGTAGATAGCCACTACACGACAAGGGATTTTTAATAAAATTAATTTTAAATTAGAGAAGTTGAAAATACTATTTTAAAAATTCTGTCACTTCCTATGTTGATTTAACGACCCTGTAACAAAACACAACACATTTTATGGCATGCACGACAAAACACAAAACATCACAATACACAGAATTAACATTTTAGTGGAGGTTGAAAGCGTGTCTAATTATAGTTTTAATTTGTTACATTGTATAAATTTAATAATTATTTTTAGTAAGGGTGAGTTAACCAATTTTAGGACGTTTTTAACATTTAAAGGTCGAGGTACATCATGTGGAAGGACATCATATAAGGAATATCGAAGTTTGGGACAGTCAAATAACAAGTGTTCCGCTGTTCCTTCGTCTATACCACATTCACAGAGAGAGTTATCTCTAACCTTAATTTTCTTCAGATGTACCGGAGTACATGAGTGGCCTAGGCGAAGACGACATAGGACTGACACAATCTGCTTGGGAACATTTTTTTGTTTGAAATACCATGGCTTAGCTGGGATCGTTGGTTGGATGTCGAAATAGTGTCTACCAGTACTGTTTCTAGTATTTTCCCAATTTCTTTCCCATGACTGTAGCAGATGGGATCGAGTAACAGGAAGAAGATCGTGATATGCGAGTTGTGAATATTCAGGAGAACCTGTGGATATTGCATTTCGGGCACATGAATCTGCTGACTCACTACCCTGTATTCCACTATGACCTGGGATCCAACCCACTATCAGTTCTATACCTTTTAACTTGCATCTAAATAGGGCTTCTCTAATCTTAAGAATTATTGGATAGCGAGATTTGGTCCGGAACGGGTTGGCGGATATTGCCTGGAGGCAGCTTAGTGCGTCGGACAGAATAATGGTTTTATTGAGATTGTGTGATTCACAGTATAGAATCGCCTCTAAAATTGCGATGGCTTCGCCTGTAAAAACAGATGAGGGTGGAGGAATTTTGAATCCTAAAATGACTCTAAACCTAGGTATCCATACGGCAGCCCCTACACTACCAGTGTCTGTGGTTTTTGACGCGTCTGTATATACCTGAAGCCAATAGGGCCAGTTTTTGGCAATAGATTCGTTAAAGACTTGGTTTGCGCTAAGAGAGTGTTTTTCTATACCTACATTGAGAACGACTGGTGGGTTGAATACTAAAGATTCGAAACTGTTTAAAAACAAGGGATTACCTGGGTATTTTTCGATATCTATGGAAGGACGGCAGAATTTCGAATAACTGGATATTATACACGGTAATTTGTGTCTAGAATTTGGGTTAGTATTTAATGCTTGAGACAACTTATGTAGTATGCCTAGAAGTGGGTGCGAATTATTTTGTAAAATTTTGAGGAAAAATCTATCACTGAGATACTGTCTCCGGAGAAAGAGTGGAGGGTCCGCACCTTCTATTTGGAGGGCATTAATAGGGGAAGACTTCATTGCGCCTACAATAATGCGTAAACATTTCGACTGGATTTTGTCCATTTTATCCAGTGCCGCTTTATTGCAGGGATCAAGAAGGAAGGAACCGTAATCGAAATGACTGCGGATAATGGCGTTATAAATCAGCTTTTGAGTTTCTGGGTGTGCACCCCACCAAACGCCAGAAAGCGCTCGCAGGACATTGACACTCTTTTCTGCTTTATTAGCGACATTATTGAAATGAGGGACACCTGTTAATCTGGAGTCCAATATCATTCCTAAGAACTTAACCGAGTCTTTAACCTCAATATGAGAGTCTTGGAATTCAATGATCGGAACTGATACATTTCGCTTCCTGGTGAAGACAACCGCGCTACATTTTGGGGTGGAGATGGATAGCCCGTGATGCTCCAGCCATTCGCCGAGATAAAATAATGCAGAATTCAGTCGTGATGTAGCTTCCGAAATAGATTTTACTCGAACGTAAAGAGCTAAATCGTCTGCGTACTGTAGGGTTTGGCAAAAAGAGTTTGTGGAAAGTTCCATGTCATATGTGTATATCGAACCGCTTTATGTCAACGTAGCTGTCAAACTTCATTGGTTGGGTTGGTAGCATTGAAAGATTAGTTTATTTTTTTCATTCGACTTAAAAATCGACTTCAACTTTTTAAAAAAAACCTACCTTCAATCGGGATAACTTGTTTCCACTGGTAATCACCACTGAGCTACTTTTCGGGATGAATTTCTGAAAGGAATTTAAGATAGCACCCTTATAGAATTAGTAATAATTTATTACTCAGAACAAGAACTAAAGCATAGTAGTAATATTTGAATTAAGATATTTTAAATTGAATTGAATTATATACATTTTTGTAGTCGACTGTACCAATACCATATGATACTTAGATTAAAACAAAAAGGGAAGATACGGCACTGGCGGGTCAAAAGTGATCCGCTTAAATTGTGGTGCATGACCATAATTCGCTTTAGTCACAATTGGACATTCAAACACGCTGCATGTGCACTCAATATAACAATATTGCGTATATTCTGTGTTTTGAAGATTAAACAATGCCTTCGATGCTTTTATAAAGTACACAAATACTTCAAAATCAAATGCCTCGGCAACACTTTTCATTCGTAAAACTGTAAAAACATATTATTCTCAAAAATCACGGTTTGTCGTGAATGTTATTGGCGTAATCGCCATTTTGTTATCAAGAAAAGGACAACAATACGTTGGGTTGAAGCGTATAGTTCTGTCGCGCTCGCTCGATTGAATGTTTATATACTGACGTGTGCGTGTATGAGAGTTGTTTATGTAGTTGAGCCGGATCATATTTTATCTGATGCCAGTACGAGCATACCGTATCTACTCTTTTTGTTTTAATCTACGTGTCGCCGCACACGGGCCACCGACCACAACCACAAAACGCCGCCACCGGCATATTTCTTTCAGTTTTCATACATTTTATATGGACTCGCCACACACGATACGCCGGTGGCCGCCACACGCTACAAATCGTCGTTGCTCGCTTCTTGTGGCCCGCACCGGCCACTTATGCGCCGATACAAAACGCCGCCACACGTCACTCGCGCGATTCTCCACCCATCTCTCCCTTACTGTAGTCGGCCGCTGTCGCTCGCTTCAGCCACTTTAGTAGCCACTGCTAGCTTCTCGTGGTGGCGTTTGTAGCTGTGTCGTGTGCGGCGACACTAAGATATAAAAAAAAATGGGTGCGTGTACTTATGTAGGCGCGTGAGAAGTTATCCTTCTTTGGCATCGTTTAAAATTAGTTTTTAATTGCATGCAAATAATTAAAAAGTCTGGAAAGGACACAGTCAATAAAGTTCAGTTTTAATTTGAAAAAATAAATAAATAATCAAAATATTCAATTAAAATCGCTACTGAATATAATTTATTAGAACATATGTGATTTGCACTTGTATGAAACTCAAATACGTATTCCGAATATACAAACTAGAAACATGTGGATAAATATTATAAATATGAATACCTATAACTGTTACTTTATTACAAAAAATAAAGATGTGGTTTTTGGTTCTACTACACCAATGGTCAAGAGATGGCGCTGTAGTCTCCTGAATCGCGCTTTGGTTCCGTTGTTCCAGATTAATAAATACTTTTGATAGGCCTTCACAATGCAATCGTTAGCACCCACAAAATAGAGATTCTATTTCTATTTTGTTGGTAGATTTTCTTAATGTGCGGTAAACACAAAAGTAACGCATGAAGTTGGTCGCTAAAGCGACCAACTTCATGCTGTTAATTTTTTGTGTTACAGTGATGCGCGCGCATCTTAAAATTTCACTCTCATCATTTTTTCATAACGCGCCTAAAGAAGTATAACTTCAATAATTAAATCAATGAAATGTATAATACAATTTGTTAACAATAACAATGTGATCGCAGGCAACATTCGTCGTTTCCGGCGCGTCTGCGAAGTGGTCCAAGCGGCCGTCTGCAGAGCGCCCGGCGCCGGCAGAGCACCCGCCCTGCACCCGCCCGAGCCCCGCGCTAGGAGGCGAGCGATGCCGGCCAGGGGTAAGCATATAACATACTATGTGACAATAACTGTTTTTGGAACGAAGTTCCTTACGGCAGGCTTGGAGGGGATAGGGATTTTGCTGCGCGACCGAACTGAAAAAAATGTGATAGTAAAACCGTAAGAAAAAATCCGTGGAAAAAAGTGCGTGGAATAAAACCGTTAAATGAGACGTGCGCAGACGCGACAAAGTTCCTTACGGCAGGCTTGGAGGGAATAGGGATTTTGCTGCGCGACCGAACTGAAAAAAATGTGATAGTAAAACCGTAAGAAAAAATCCGTGGAAAAAAGTGCGTGGATTAAAACCGTTAAATGAGACGTGCGCAGGCGCGACAATCGCATACACAAGCGAGTTTGCAATTTGTGTCGATTCTACATTAGCCGAAGGAACTTCGTTCCTACCTGGTGTCCCACGACACCACATCATTTTTTTATTTAAAGTTGGCCTTCAAAGGAGCATGGCCTTCCATGGTCCACCCACCTTATATATCATACTATATAGGGAGAAAACCCGCTCAAGCCCCGAGCTAGGAGGCGGGCGATGCTGGCCAGGGGTAAGCATATAACATACTATATTCAAAGTCTCTTCGGTGGCAGAACCCGACACGTTGAGCTAGTAAAATTCCATCCTTAAAAGATAATGTAGGAAGACCAAAGGGGTAGATCTTCCTCCGAGCTGGATGATGGTAGCTCGGGGGCCGTGGCCCAACTGATGTTGGTCGGGCATCGTATATATCGAGTGTTTCGAGCCTCCGAATTTCATTTGCGCGATGTGGGCTTCCATACTATTGTGATCGCAGCGCAAGTAGCGCCATCTCTTGAGGAGGCGAGAAATTATTTCCTCCATGTTAGTTATATTTGGGGCATATAGATGTCGCCGCCACACATTTAATAAGTGGGTATTGTGAAAACTAAAGAAATAAGTATGAAATAAATACATAAATAACTTGTCATTTTTCTTTATAGGTACCGGAGAAATACCAGACAGTCCAGAAACGCCACACCAGCAGTCCGACCACGACAGCGACTCTTCAGTGTTCGACACGCACAAGAGTCCAAGTCACGCTTCCATAGAGCAACTGGATCAAGTGAGTGCTTTAGATGATCTAGAAAAAATCCACGCCGACCAGGCAGCAGCCGGGACTCGAACCCGCACCCTTCGCTCTCCGGGCGTATGCACTGACCAATTATGCTACCGCGGCCCTGATTGCCGTGTGGAATTCTTTCTAGCCTTTCTTAATCTGCAAGTCAGCGACATCTCTTCGCATTGTAGGTAACCCACAATTTTATTGATTTAATTCTAATAATATTTTCTTTAGATTTAAACGTCCAGCAGTTACCTGCTTAAAAAATAAAAATTATAAATATAAATAAAACTATTTTTAACGGGTTAATGCACGAACTTTATTTATTTATTGACGTTTTGCAGCCTTTTCAGGTCTGCATCGTCAGAATAATGATTTTTTATTTACTTTGTCGAGCTACCTTCGAAAGACTTCTATTGAGCGTTCGGATATTTCTATGGAAGATTTTCAAAACCACTTTTATCTATGTTTGAATTTATTAGTTAATTTACTTAATTAAGTACTTTATTTAAAAATCTTTTTAATAACTTAAACCGTTAAAACTAGTTTTATTTAATGAGTGATGTGCGTGAAAACTTAAGAAACAAATAATAGCGATTCAAACAAAAATAGGAAAGCCAATGACCTCTATCTGTCAAATGTCGCTTGAAAAGTACGGTTTGCAAAAAAAACTTGGAACACTCTTTTAGCACTCCGCTAATTCAAGTTTGGACTTTATCACCACCTAACATCAGGTGGGGTAGAGTCATTTGCCTACCTGGCTATAAAAAATATACATTTTTTTTGACAACACTATTCTGTTTATAATCGCTAATAAATCCTGCTCGAATCAGCGTGAATTCGTAAAATCATAAAAACCTTATGACTTCTTACTAACAAAACGAAACTATTGCCACTTTAGTCTAAAATAAAGTTTAGTATTATTAATAACTAGTGGTCCGCCCTCGCTTTGCTTCGGTGTAGAGCTGTAGTGTAGACTATAGTTTTTGTTCAAAGGCTTGTATTATACACAATTACTTTCTTCATAATAATAATAAACCTTCCATTCCAAGTAAAAAATTCGTTGCGTAGTTTAGGACCCATTGTACCGAATGCAACATTGCTCTGCAGTTCCGATTTGATTTTTTTTTGTATTGAACAGTGCATTTATCGAGAACGCTTAAAGGCTATATATTACCAGTAGCAGCGGAGCATCGATAAAAAATGTTGCAAAAACAGGTAAAAATATTCCATTTGTGAGATTCCGTTGCGTGCGCTGGGTAAACGGTTAAAGTTACACAAAAATCATGTATGACGGATTTCTTCCCCTTTAAAAGTTCTGTAAAAAAGTCCACGACAGCACATGTCCAACGCGGGTGAAAACGCTGGGGACCTCTAGTTGACTGTAATAGTTAGACATATGGTATCGGGGACATTTTTGTAGATATTGGTATCCTCTATAAAACTTTAGTACATCACTTTGCTCTATTGTTCATGACTTCCGCAGCGTACGCGACATAAGGCTATTTTTTGATATTTTTTACATACGTTGGGTTACATTATCGAAGTTTTCATTCGGAACCCTAACTTTTTTGAAAATACACTATAGCTTATATTAATCAGTGATAATGTAGCATTGAAATGGTGAAAGAATTTTTAAAATCGGTCCATCGGTAATTTTTGAGCCATTTCGTTACAAACATACTTACATACAAACTTTACCTCTTTATAATATTAGTATAGATGACACAGCAATCAAAATGAGAGTGGACATTGTATTAGTAGCGACATGTTTTGTTTGTACACGGTGCTACTTTTGTGCAATGCTGATGAGTTTCTTATGCCCATTCTTCTCATCAGCTATGTGTCGGTGGTAGGAAAAAATATTCGAGGAGCTCGATGGCGCAGGCGGCTAGCGCGTTCGGCTGCGATCGTTAAAGTTAAGCAACTTTCGCAATGGTCGGTCATTGGATGGGTGACCAAAAATCTTCTACCTCGAGTTCCTCCGTGCTTCGGAAGGCACGTTAAACCGTTGTTCCCGGCTACATCTGCAGTCGTTAGCACCCGCCAATCAGCACTTGGCCCGCGTGGTGGGTCATAGCCCAATATCCCTATTAAATCCAAAGGGAAGGCCTTTGCCCCAGCAGTGAGACCGTTAATAATAGGCTGATGATGATGATGATAATAATTTCATTTAATTTATTTCTCGTTCACAGAACGGCACTCATCCATTGGGCTCCAGTTCTTCTGTCACTAGCGGTTCTAGCGGATACAAGGTAAATATATCTATCTTTATTCTTCAATACTTTGAATCTAGTCATATTTGGTCATAGAAAGTCTATTTAGAAATATTTGGTCATAAAAAATTACACCCCGCCACTTTTTATAAACCTACCAAATAAAATATTTTAATAACATCAATTATTATTAGCATTGTAGTAGGTGTATAATCGAATTACCATTGTCTAGTTGTAAAAAAAAACTCTAATAGAACTTGTTTATTTACATAATTTATTATGTTTTCATATAAGTTCCAACAAATTACTCCACATCTGATGTAAAGTTAAAGAAAATTATGCAATCCCCGAGCCCGTGGACCACCTTTAATACGAGTGGAAAATATTATATTCTATTTCGTTTTTAAAGCGCTATTCCCTATGGAATAGCGGATCTGCTATTCCATAGGGAATAGCGCATTTTAAAACTAAAAAGTCGCTAAAGTGAGTTTTTAGTTTGTTATCACGGCGACTATAACGAAGATAAGAATATCTTCTGTGTAGTGTATGCAAAATTATAATTCCTCTTTAACGGCTGAACCGATTTTTACAAAATTTTCATTCGAGCCCTGAATGGTCGAGATTGACAACTGAACCCGTTAGGTGGCGCTTCAGTCAAGCTTTAGGATTTTTGTATGTTTTTAACAGGACAACGTCTGTCTGGTTTACTTGTTCGTTCAAATATATATAAAATATTAGGACAGCTTATGGACAGGGATGATTTGTATCGAAAATACAACGGATTTGAACATCTCTCAACTATTTAATTAGCAAAATTGAGGCTGTCAGCGCAAAAGTCGCCTAATCCTCAATTATTCGTAGTCTGATTCATCTTCTACAATTCAAAAAAACAATGTTAAAATTTAATTCAAAATCGTCATTCAATTCAGGCGTCAGTAGATGGCGCTGCAAAAGTTATTTTTGCATTGATTTTTTTCTCTCAACGTAAACTTCATAAGAGGCCTAAGCCGCTTAATTGCGTTGACCGCCTCAATTAAGATAATGATAAAATACTAATTGACGTAGTTATTGCGTGAACTCATAATTTCTACGTAGTCAAAGTTATTTGATTTGAATTAAAATAACTGACGGTCGTACTTGGAGACGACAATTCACTATTAAATTTGATTAAAGTTATTACTGTCACTTCCTTTGCTTTAACTATAGAATAAGACAACACTCAATTAACGATCATTAAATAGGGTATTTGACATGTTTCAGAAAACGATCTCACGTCATTTAGTAATATTTGTGGAGTCCATAAAAAGTGGATATTTTTAATTGTTTTGTGTAATTCAGTAAAAAAACTAAATAAAAAAAAACAATTTTCAATTCGCTGCGATAATGTTTCTCTGGCCATTATGGCGACTCACTGGTGTGTGTCGTCACACCACTATCATTAAAACGTCAAACGATACAATGTAATGACACTTTGGTCAGAAGTTTAGTAGCGTGTGACGTCATTTTAGTCTTGGCCAATCCCAGGCGTTTTCGGCCACGTGACCAGGGAGCCTAAATATTATTTCTATTTAATGATTTTTATAGAAAAGTTATTAATTATTTGTTCTTTCAGAAAAGTAAATTCGCTGCTAACGTTCACATTTAATACAGATACCAACAATTGGTACATTATTTTTCAAATTGTCAAATAGCCTATTTACATGACGTCTCCATACCATTTCACCTTTTGCCCCATTGATCCAAAGTGCGGCCAACGAAAGAAGAAGATCTTGACAGGTAGTGTCAGTTCCCAGAATAAAGTACACTTTCGCTCAGTAAATAAAGATCCGAAAATAAACCTTATTTCTATCGTCACAAGGAACTAATGGCCCAATTCCATTTGGTCGTTACCCCGTATTTGGGTACACGAAAGACTTTTTTCGAATTCGGGCACCCGAAGTAATATTTACACTGGAATACAGGCTGGAAAACGGTATCCGGAAAGTCGGGTAACCAAAACGAGATCTACCAGAATACGGGCGTACTCGACTCCGTTCATTTACAATTAGTCGTTTACCCTAATTCCATTGGTACTCATATTCGGGCTAACAAGCAAGTGTAATCGCGCCATAACATGACCTGTCAGGATCTTATTTTTTCTTTGGCAGCACATTAGTGTATGTGACCTTGAAGTGCTCATAGTCACGGGTTCGATTCTGTCATGATTCTCTAAACTTAAAAAGTTTTCAGGGCTCCACGTGGTAGGGGAATGGGTCAGGGTAGGCAATGGTGCGAGTGATATTTTTGGTATCGCAAGCGTATATAAGCTATGATGGCCGCTTTTGATATAAAAATACCTAAAATTGAATTTGACACCGCTCTCTTTAATAGGGTATTTGACAGTATTAAAAATAAAGTGCCAATTGTTAGCATCTGTATTTAGAATGAATATTGGCAGGAGTTTTTACTATTCTTACAGAAAAAATATTCATAATTTTACTAAAAACCCACGATAAAGATAATAGTTTTCTTGTCTATTGTCATGTGACCCAAAACGCTTGGGATTGGTGGAGTCTAAAATGACGTCACACGCAAGTAAACTTCCGGTTAAAGTGACATTTGATTGTATGTTTTGACGTTTTAATGACAGTCGTGTGACACACCAGTGAGACGCCATATTGTCCAGAGATACGTTTTTCGCGGCAACTTGAAAATAGAGTTTTTGATTTGGTTTTTTTACCGAAATACATAACATAATGATGAATATCCACTTTTTATGGACTCTATAAACATAAGTTAATAACGTGTGATCGTTATCTATCGTTATCTAAAACTTGTCAAATACCCTATTCGTACTTTATAAAGCATGACAAGGACAGTTTCAATAATAAAACCTAAAGAGCTCCTAAAAAAATATATGTAGATTTAGATTAAAACAAAGACGGAAGATACGGTACGCTCATACTAGCATCAAATAAAATATGCTCCGACTCAACCACATAAGCAACTCTCATACACGCACACTTCTGTAATTATAAACATTCAATCCAGCGAGCGAGACAGTACTGTACGCTTCACCGCTTGGCAGCCGACTGTGTTTTCTTTTTTCTCTCTACAAATAGCTGAGCTGTACCCTTAACCCGAACCAATATCGAATTCGTATCGTTTTCGAGTCCGAAATGTCATTGTCAATTGTGTACTGATTTTTAGTTCTCGTTACGTACTTTGTGCCGCTGCTGTCCAAGTTTCCATGCAAAATTTGACATTGACATTTAGGTTTGCAAACTATTCGAATTCGAAAATGGTTCGTGCTAGGGGTACTGTATTGTTGTCATTTTCTTAATAACAAATGCCGAATAAGTAAATAACATTCATGACAAACCGTGATTTATGAGAAATAAATGTTTTTATAGTTATACGAGTGGAAAGTATTGCCGTGTATTTTGTTATTTAATCTTGAACAATTTGTGTTGTTTATAAAAGCATCGAAGGCATTGTTTTATCTTTAAAACACAGAATATACGCTATATTGGTATATTGACTGCACATGCAGCGTGTTTGAATGTCTAATTGTGACTAAAGCGAATAGGGTATTTGACAAGTTTTAGAAAACGATCTCACGTTATTGACTTATGTTTATGGAGTCCGTAAAAATATTTAGATATTCATCATTCTGTTGTGTATTTCAGTAAAAATAACCAAATCAAAAACTCCATTTTCAAGTTGCCACGAAAACGCTTCTCTGGACAACACGGCGTCTTACTAGTGTGTGACGTAACACGACTGTTATTAAAACGTTAAACGATACAATGTAATGACACTTTAACCCGAAGTTTACTTGCGTGTGACGTCATTTTAGGCTCCGCCAATCCCAAGCGTTTTGGGTCACGTGACAATAGATAAGAAAACTATTATCTTTTTCGTGGGTTTTTAGTAAAATTATGATTTTTTTTTTGTAAAAATAGTAAAATCCCCTGCCAATATTCATTCTAAACACAGATGCTAACAATTGGCAATTTATTTTTAATTCTGTCAAATACCCTATTGTGGCCATGCACCACAATTTAAGCGGTACACTTTTGAACCGCGAGTGCCGTATCTTCCCTTTTTGTTCTAATATAAGTATGTAGAATATAATAACAACAGATTGCTAAGAAAAAAAACCTGGCCAAAGCACGAATTTTCAACAGCTCCGTAACGACACATTTTTTATGGAAAGCTAGTTTGTTTGTACGATCGATTCTGCTTAGTTTTCATAGAAACTTTCACGGTACGATACGTTACGAAGCTGTCAAAAATTCGTGCTCACCAACGAAGTCACCAACCTCAGATTGTCATTACCCATCAAAAATTCGTGCTCACCACCCTCGGATTGTCATTACCAGTTTCTGGAGTTTGTTATTTGAAAATAGTCGTTTGAGAATCATAGCAGATTGGGGCCCTGTCTCTACATTATTATATTGTTTTAATATAGATATATATGTAATGTAATGTCAGTCGTGCGATTATAGCAAAGCGTGCGTCGCCGGAACGCCGAACCCGGATCCGCGTCCCTCGACCACGAGATCATGAGTTGCCCTCGCGACCTGCCAGGTAAGAGGAAGTACTCGCATAAAAAAGGAGTGTGCTTATGACCACACGACTGAAGTGAAACTTCTTTATCTCCGTATGTATGTATATATATATATATATATATATATGTATGTTGTGTACAATATATACATGTATGTACACATACATATTTCATTTACTAGCTATAAGAGAAAGGGAGAAAGAAAATGTGCGTGCGCACTGTTTCCTCTTGCTTATATCCCCCACTCCCGTTCGCCTAGCCCGAACACACTTTTCGTAACGCGTAACGCATTCGCCAACCCCCAAATCAACCGTGCGTAAAGAGGTTTCACTTCAATATATATAAATATTTATTTCTCAAATATGCTTGGAAATGTGAATATTAATTTTGACAACCTTCTTCGTGATAAATCGACATTGCTATACTAGCCGAATACATGCGAGCAGCAGCGGCTGGCAAAAGTCATGTGAAAATCCATATCTGTCGTGTTTAGCGGCAAAATAAAGTATAGTCTGTTTCTAAGAATTTAGACAAAACACACGAAACAAAGAGGTAGGCAAATCTGACCATAGACAGTTTAGTGACGGGGATTCCTAGAGCCTTGTCAAAATCAATTGATCAATTGAATGATCATATTCTTATTAAATATCTATAAGGCTTAATTTGTAGCAATAATAATTTTTTATGGTCATTACTCAAAAAAGAGCTCTGGTTGATGACTGTATTCGACAATATAGTTGACTATATTTCGATACTTAATATAACTTTTGAACGATTGGTTTGCGCTATTTATTAAATATCTAGGCTCGTCGGCTAACGAGCTCCCAGTATCATCCTGTTGAAAGTCCTGCATTCACTTCAGTTTCTTCTTTCGACAGTAGTCAACTTTTACGTTTATTATACAAATGTGATTAATTGTATTTATTTTTATACAAAAAATAAAAATAAAAAGTCACTTAAGTATATCAAACAAATGAATTATGCATATGTTGGATTAATGATAAAAAATGAAACGTTTTTTTAGCCTATAACCATTTATTTAATCGATTCACTATTCGATTATTAACGTCACTAGAAATCATTTTAAATAGACTTTTCGGCGCAACAAGAAATCCATTTAGTGGGTCATTGCGTGTAGAGTTACCATCCGTCCTTTTCATTTAGTCAGGACTTTGTACGGCTTTTTATACTGTCCGTTTTCTTTAATTAAATGAAATATGAGTAAAACTATTATGAAGTTATATCAAAAAAGCCAAATAATCTTTATTAGGTTCTCATTAATTTAAAACAAAATATAAATCAGCTTTTTGAAATCAACAACGAGACCCCCCCTCGCGATGCAAGCGTCTGCTACCACGCGTATAACATCACTGTAACTAAGTGGGTGATGTTTGCATTTTGTGACCAAAAAGTCCGGACTTTTATCGAAATGTCCGGCTTTTTGTCAGGACTTTTCAAATGTTTAAATAGTAACCCTAATTGCGTGGGAATTGTGAGGGAAAGTGTTTGTTTACCTTGACTCTAAATTCGTTTGCAATAGACTATGCATAGTAAACCTAAACTCATATCTGTCGTGTAATTTAAAAATGAAACATTACACGTTGGTCCATCAATGTCTCTTTTGGTAGCCGCTGCAGTAATATTACTATAACAATCATAATATTATAACAATTTTAATCTAGCTATCATCTACCGCATACAATTAGGGGTCATCTATAAAGTATATCACATTAATTTCATGATTTTTAACCCCTCCAGCGTCCTTGCCACATTTATGAGTCCTCCCCTCTCTAGTGTGACGTCACAATCACATATTTTGCATCTAGAAATTAGTTAAATTAAAACAAAAGTTCCAAAATTTGAGCCAACGACTGGAGTTTGAGTCGAGTGGTTTGTACGCCGCGTTTCATGGTGTCGCCGACTCGAGAGGTCCCGGGTTCGAATCCCGGTGGTGGCAGATGTTTGTGTGACAAAGACGAACATTTGTACTCTAGTCATAGATGTATAATATGTATTTCTATACAAATATACTTATATATGTACTGTATATGTATTCTATCCGTTACCCTAGTATCCCATAACACAAGCCTTACAGGGCTTACTTTGGGGCTAGGCTAATTGGTGTGTTTCTAAGAAAAAAAAATTGAAACCCTTACAGACAGAGTTCTAATTATTTAAAGTTTTTTGATAATAGTACTACAAAAGTATTAGATTTTGAAATGTGACGTCACGAAAATTAGGACCCCTCCCCATAGAGGTATAATAATAGAGTAGGGGATATATAGGCTCTACTACAAGTGGAAGTGTCCCTCTTATAGAAAGAGAAAGAAGATGAGAGACCGCTAGCTTTCTCTCTCTAATCGCGCATGCGCATTGGCAACCGTAAGCATCTTACTATTTCGATGTGATGCTTGGACCAACTATTGGACAGACGACTGCGCATGCTTCACAATAGAGAGAGATAGCTAGCGGTCTCTCATCTTCTTTCTCTTTCTACTAGACGGACACTTTTAGAGTCGCCTTCCCCACTCTATTCTTATACCTCTATGCCCCTCCCACCCCCTTAACGTGTGATGTACTTTATGGACCTATAGAATAACAATACTCGGTTACAGGTCGCGGCAAATTTCTTGAGCAAAACCAGAGACAAGTAAACTTGCGCATTAGACGTTGTTGTTTGTAAAATTGTTCAGCAGCTTCCTTGTCTATGGTCTTTGCCCTAGAACTTCTTGATAAACCCTTTTAACGGATAGAAAGCACTTCTTCTCTTTGATTATTGGCGGTGCCCCTATGGACTTCGCCAGGGTCGAGTTTTATGGCCCACTTTATAGACATTATAAAGCTCCTGTTTATGGGATACTAGTGCGATGGGTTGACGATTTTTGGCCGAGTGGTATGTACGCCGGGTCTCGTGATGTCGCCTACTCGAGAGATCCCGGGTTCGAATCCCGGTGAGGCAGACGTTCGTGTGATGAAAACGAGCATTTATAGTTCAGTCATCAGTATCACCAGTGGATGTTTAATATGTATTTCTCACAAATATACTTATGTATGTATCAATATATATATTCTATCCAAAATCCTAGTATCCCATAACACAAGGCTACTTAGCTTGCTTACTTTTGGGCTAGGCTAATTGGTGTGTTGGAAATATATATTTATTTATTTAATGCCACAATACAAGCTTTACAATGCTTACTTTGGCTAGTACTATTGAAAAGCCAAGCCGACCATACAGGTAATAATAATATTTTGTTTTCTTCCCAAAGGAACTCATACTAAGCGTTCCTCCTCCGAATGTCGGGAGGCCAATTCCTCCCCTCGAAGGGGCCTCGATTCAAGGGACAGTTCTATTAAAGACGAATTACGAAGAAACAACTCGTTACGCGAGACAGGGAGGGCACTCAGGGACAGGGACCCTACGACGTCTGTTGCGTGAGACCTTGAATACGGCCCTGTGCGGACTGTTGCGGAAATGCTGCGGTTTAGAGCCAATTGATATTGATAGTGGCTTTAGCTACACGCGCTTTTAGGCGGAAATTAGAAAATGGAAGCCTCAAAGTTTCGGATTTCGAATATGAGTAAAATATTCTTGCAAATTTGAAAATGGAAGCCTCAAAGTATAGGTTTTAAAAATGAGTAAAAAATGCTCTTTGGAGAATTCGAAAGTGGAAGCCTAAAAGTTTCGGATTTCAAATTATGGAGTGAAATGTTCTTTCTGTTCGAAAATGGAATTCTCCTACTATTAGTTTTGATTTGAATGTGTACTTATACATTCCGAAAATCTTCTTGAGCAACGACCATAGACAAGCCTGCGCAGTAGAAATTTTATATACAAAACGACTACTACGCAAGTTTATTTGACTGTGGTTCTGTTTAAGAGGTTTATACTTGAGAATAGGAAATTGGAATTGGTCCTTTGTCTGAATGTTGAATATATGCAGAAAGAATCAAAATGAATTTTATTAATAATTGTTAATTGTTCAATTTAAAAACTCCGGTTAAAAAAAGGCTTTTAAAATCATAAATTCGTGTAGGAATCAAATCAACCGTATTCCAGTTTTCGATTGCAAATTATCAGAGTACTAATTTAAATCGACACGCTCTATTAGAGAAATAAAATGATTTTGAATGTCTCTGATATGTTTATTTATTGCGTATTTTGGCATTGGTCTATTGGTGTGTTGTAAAGACTATTTTGTTTTATTGAAGATACGTTGACTTTGTGCAAAGTATTAACTGATTTTTTTATGTTAAAAGGATGGCAATTCTTAGCAGAAAAAAATGAAAACATCAGGCCCGCCTGATAGAGTCTATGCGGAAAGAGAATGGGCGTGGCGAAAAACGGGACTTACATTAAGAATTTTATTTGGCAATCAAACCCAGCAATCCGTAAAACGTCAAAGTTTTGTATTGATACGGATTTGTTTGTTGTTGTGATTTCTTGCGGTTTTTTGTATTTAATCATGTCTAAAAGGGGTAAAACCTTACAAATACGGTAGAAAAGCACTACAGCGCCCTCCAATCTAAATCCCATTCTCTTCCCGCACAGATTCTAGTCGGCCACCATAGACTATAGACGCTTGCTATACCAAAAATATCACTCGCTGTCGCCTACCCTGACCGAATCCCCTACCCCGTGGAACCCTGGAACCTAACTCGCCGACAGAAACACAACACTACCAAAAGGTATTTTACTGTGATCTTCTGTAAGGTGGATTACCACATAGTGTTATAAATATCCCAGTTTTGAATCTTATATTAACCAACATAAGGGGGCGTCCATAAATTACGTGAGGTGCTTTTCTGAATTTTCTGTCCCTCCCTCCCCCCCTGGTGAGATGTCGTGAGATTTTATTCAACCCCCTCCCCCATCCCCCAAACTCACGTGTGATTTTTCAAAATGTGGGTTTCTAACGTAAACGCGTTGGATTGTTATTGTAAAAAGAAGAAAATGCGTGCTTTTATTTACAACTAAGATTAAATCTTAAGCAATTACAATCTGGATTAAATGGACCAAAATGGTATATCTTTTTTGTTTCAATCAGAAAAAAAATTGCGTGATATTTGCCGAGACTCCCCCTCTCTCCAACGTAAGATTAGATGAGATTTGTCTCGACCCCCTCCCCCCTTAAACATCTCTCGTAATTTATGGACGCCCCCTAACGTCTAAAATCACTTAAGACGGAATATATTGTACTCTTTGCACAATTTCAACGTGTCTTAACTTGTTATAGAATGTTTTATGAAAAAGAAATATTCCACAAAACCAATATAAAATTATTACTTTTAGGAAAATGTAAATTAAATTTCGCAGTTTTAGCTGACCTTTTTGTGTGTTATATTGTTTTAATAAAATGTGTAAGTATTTGAAATTGTGTTGTGAAAAAAAGGTTAATTCTTGGCTTCCATTTTGCCCTTTTCGAGACATTCATGATAAATGACAAAAATGAAATGATGTATGAAAATATGTAATTAATTCCATTTGTAAGTACCTGGCAGTGTTTTCTTATGGTGCTTAGGTAGGGTCTAGAGTAACAGTGTAACAAGGGGCACAGTGTAACATAAGAAATATCTCTGCCATTTTCTAATTTGTCTATGGTCTGCCTTGACGTGGTTTTATTAGTTTCATATGCCCCCATCTTATGCCCCCCGTAGATGGCATGTAAAGACGGGGTAGTTTGCGCGTCTGTGGTAGGTATTTGACGTCCGCAGATGCGTCTGCCATCAATCCGATAGTTATCGGTTTTTGTGGCACGCAACGAAGGGATTCAGGGTGTCAACTGCCTAACGGGATTGCTATGGCTGTCGCTATCGCTTACCATTTAATTTTGTTATTTCTGACCCCCGAAGGTTTTTAAATACCTTACGCTCATTTTCTTTTCAAGAGGAGCTCGATGGCGCAAGTGGTAAGCGCGTTTGGCTGCGATCGATGATCTTAAGCAACTTTCGTAGTGGTCGGTCATTGGATGGGTGACCAAAAATTACTATCTCGAGCTCCTCCGTGTTTTAGAAGGCACGTTAAGCCGTTGGTCCCGGCTGCATCTGCAGTCGTTAGCACCCACCAATCCGCACTGGGCCCGCGTGGTGGGTCATGGCCTAACCTCCCTATTCCATCCATAGGGAAGGCCTGTGCCCCAGCAGTGGGGACATTAATAGGCTGATGATGATGATGATGATGATTTTTTTTATATTGTTTTTACCAATATAAAATTTATCATTCATTTCAAAATCTTCAGCGGTCAGAAAAAAGAATAAAAATCGTAAGCGATAGCGATATAGCAATATAGATAGGCGATTGACCCCCAGGGCGGATGTCCGGCGTGATTGTCCAACTCCACACGTCTCTCTATGCATCAGTAGTACAGGAGTTGCGAATGAGAGTGGACGCGTGCTTGCAATTATTTTTTGCTCGTTTGTCGAAATAGCTAATATTATGAGTATTACCGAAACATTTAAATTCCTTGAGTAGTATTCGAGCAGAAAACGACCTGCGGAATCCGAGAAATAGCCAGCAGTTTCTATTTCTTTTTTTTATAATTCCACCTCAACTAAATAGTCAAAAGTTCTAAATTAATAAATAAATGAGGCAGTAAATAATCTCAACTATTTTTTTATGCAAATGTCCTGGATTGATAAGCCAGCATCTGGCAACCCTAGGGATAATACAGAGATGTTCCTTTTGTTACACTGTGCCCTACTTGGCCCTAACCAAAGATAATAGGGAAGTCTTGAGCATTTTTATTATTAACTAGTGGCAGTAGGTGGGCACCTTCGCTTTGCTTAAGTGTAGAATATGGTTTTTGTTCTTATGCTTGTATACAAAATACATATAAAACTTTCACGAAAACTTATCTTACTGATTGTAAAATAACCACATCAAAATCCGGTCAGTAATTTTTGAGACCATCGACAATATAGACTTTTTGGTTAGACGTTAATGCCACCGTTTGCCAATACGGCCAAGTACTTATAAATGCGTGTAACAAATTCATCATTGCGCAAGAGTGCAATTAGAAATTATATATAAACATTTTTAATTGAATAATAATTAACAAACAAAACGCCCAACCTAGTAGCGAATGATTTTTTACAATTATTATACATATATAGGCTGTAAACTAGTAAGCTTAAAATGTGTTGTAATAATATTCATTATTTGGAAAATATATTATATATATTGTGTAATATTAATTAATAATTAAATGAAAAAAAAATGGTATGTAAAAAATCGGAAACCGGCCATGTAATTTTTAAATGTTTAAAAAAAATTGCTACCCATTGTACTGATTTTTCGCTGTTTAATGTAAGGCCTGAGAATAAGTTGTATTTTTGCAGAAATAGAAAAATAAATGAATATATATTATATTATTATTATGATGTATTGAACATAGTATGTACGTCTATGTTTGTATGCTGTAAACAAAAACCTTTCCGGTAACTGCCACTATATTTAAACCGATATATTACCAAAAGAGTGTTAAAGGTGTAACTCAATTTAAAATTTAATAACTCCATATAAATTATATAATAATTAAAACATTTTAACAGGATTTTGAACCATATTGGTCACGACATAGTAAACAACTTTAAGATCAAATCCTGTTTTATGATTTCCTGCATTTATAAATGCGAGTAAAATGCTATGTTTGTTGACGAAAAATTCGTATATTATAACATCTTAACTTAAAATTCTGTGCGATTTGTAAATGGACTAAAATTCATTACTATAAAATCATTAAAAAAAATATTGTAATCTTTGACGTATAAATGGTTGGAATTTTGAATTTAGTTACACCCACGTGACATACGTAGCGTATATGTATTATATATGTAGATTGCGCAGCTGTCTGTCTATCGTATTTTCAGAATCATAATGATTGTTGTTATTTATAATTTGTAAAAAATCAGATACCTTTATTCACATAATATGTCTCTCTTTAACACTTAAAAGTATTGAAAATATTTGTTTTACGTGAAATTAGTAATTTTGTTTTTTAACATATATATATAATAAGTAATGACAAAAAAAAATATTAACGTAATAACTGAAGAAAATTCCCTAAAATTAAATAACAACACAGTAGGAATACACCTTTCTGTCCCTGTTCTATTCATAGAGAACAACTACTGTAAACATTTTTTTTTTTATTATTATTATTAAATTTTTTTATTATTATTATTAAACTATTATATGAACTGAAATTGTTGCAAATTTGTGTTTACTATGTAAATAGCTATGTAATAGAAAATGTGTGATTTAGTACCGTTCAATTTATATATACATATATTATTATATATATGTATCAGTATGAATGCAATATGAAAGCACGCTATGGAAATATTTGTACATAAAAGTATCTTATCAAAGCATGAAACGTGTTGCAACATGATGCCATTGAAATCGCGAGAAATGTATGAGCATTCGAACATTTTATA